AAATCTTTTATCGTTATTTATCTTGTTGTTAGGATGTTAAGTTATTTCCTTAAAACTGTAAAACTAAAAAGAATAGACTTCTATTTTTTTTTTCTCAAGGACAGTAGTTGATAACTAAAAACTAGATATTTTGTTTAACCAGTGCAGTGCAGTGCAGTGCAGCATTTCCTTAAAGAAAATAATGACATCTGCATTCATTTATGAGCAGATTTGATCTCTTCATTTTTTTTTAATCCGTCGCACGGTTTTCACTTAAAAATAAAAAACTAATTTCTCTACATACTGTTAAATAAACGATATTGTGTATAAGCATAATTTTTATTTTTATAGAAATCAGAAAATTAACATGTGAAATTCTATACGCCCGCCACTGGTGTATTTTTAAAAAATTGTAGTACACTAATTAATGCCTCTGAATACCTAGTACATGTGTACCAAATTTCATTGAAATATCTAAAATGGTATCACAAATATTTAAAAATAATTTTTTTTTTTGGAAAAATTTGCCACCCTATATCTCAACAGTTGACCCAAAAATCAATAAATAATAAAAGTAAGGAAAACATTCACATACTCTAGCACGACAAATATGAAGTGACCCCGCTAATAATTGAGGGAAAGTTGGAAAGAAAAATGGTTGCGGTAGAAAACAGATAGCCTGTATGCGAAACATTTGAAAGTGGTCGGAACTGTATTAGGTAGACACAGGATTGGCAATGTGATGGCCAGGTCCGGCAAGCTGTCCCGCAGAGCTACTCTTACGACACAGTTTTTACTGTTCTACGTTTACCAGAAGTTTCGGTCGTTTGATTATCAAGTCAGCAAATAGATGTACACTTTATGTCTCTAAAGAGGGAGACACAACATGTCAGCTTCTATTTTATCTCATATTAATGCCCCTTGGTTTTATTTATACAAACGGTAGACCTTTTTCTTCAACGTTTCTCGACTTCCTTTTAATCTTGGGGTAATGGGGGTACTATTAATTATAACCAAAATTATACTCTCCGATAGTTGTTGTTTGATAACAACGAAAACGAATAAGGTTTTCGTATGTGTGGTATTTAATATTTTTACCCTGTCTACCGTTATTTTACGAATATGGATTGGTAGAGATCTACTCTACCTTGATGAAAAACTTGATTACTTAGACTTTACAGTTTAATGCAAGGAATCTGGTATATTTATACTTTCTTTTTAAAGAATTTAAGCTACAGCAATTTTTGCCCAGTGTTACCACAGTTTTATTTTATTTAGACCCGAATTGTGTCTACTTCACGAGCTGTCGTTAAGTAAAGCTTTTCGTTAAGTTCAATTGGTTTACTAATGTATAAGGAAAACTACATAATATACATGAATATACTGAGTTTTGTAATAGTAGTAGATATTTATTTCGGAGCAATTTGTATTGCAATGACTATTTTTCAATAATAATATAAATATTACGTTTTCAAACCAAGAAGAAGCAAAGTGTGTCATATATGGTTTTCGTAATCAGACAGGCTGCAAATAACATTTGTTGTCAGTAAAGGCCTTGAATATTTTTTGAATTGCTTTTTGTTACCATTTCAAGCAAGTTATGGTATGTTTGCCAGGAATGAGAAGCAATAATTATTTTTTTTTAACGGAATGTCATTTTTTGTTTCTTGTCGAATAGGAATGAATGTCAGATGTTATTTGGAAGTATTCCTTATTGTCATGTATAGAAAATAATGTTTTAGGTAAATGTCAGTCAGTGTCAGAATTAAAATTTCTTTAGTGGTTTTCAGTTGTATATTAACCGAATTATTTTTCTTGTTTAACAATAATACAGTCTACTGCTCTAGTGCTGAATATACTCAATATATCAAAAAAAAATCCTCAATTTTTTTTGAAACGGGCTATTTGATTATACCACCTTAATTGAGACTGAATTTCTGTATCTATAAGTTTCATATGCGAATTTTTAATTATATCATCTTGGTCTATGAATTAAATTACTAGTTTTTTTAGGATTTCACATAAGGTGGTCTTTTATGCAGTGGGTCTCAAATTTTTGTATAACCTTATTAATTTTTTGTATAAATAATATACTTGGTAACATAGTATCCATAAATGGTACCCAGAACTACACAATATTTAGGCTAAGTTATTAGTAATTGTTTAATTTCGTTTATTCCTGGTAAGTTCTATGTGTAAAAAATTGTTCCTTATAACTCTACACTGTTTCCTAATATTTCCGATTTCATAGTCTGATTTTCAATTTGGACAATGATATTTTGTTTTGTATTTGAAAGGTTTACCAAATGGAATGCTTTCCCCCAAAAAGCATACCTCTTCAATTTATCCAAAAAAAATCATGGTCTAGGAGTCTAGGTGATCAATTGGCTGACTCGAATTTAAAAATAAATAGCGGTGCTAGTTTTGACCTATTTTTTGAATAAGTTTGGTTACAGCTAGAAAATAATTGTAATTTGTTCATAAATGTATTTCATTTGCTTACGAAAACCATACAAAACTTGGTCGATAGACCTCTAATTCGTTTAGATTTACTTTTTTTGCACTACCTAAATTAAATCTAATTTGAGCTGCTCTGTTTCATTGAATTATTTACTAAATAGCAAATTGGTTTTCCTAAACCTAAACCTAAAACTTTTCCATGCTAATGAATTTCTTCAAAAAGTAAATTGAAATACATACAAGATTTAAATCTATTACTAATTCCTGCTTTTAACCAGTGGTTACAAAAGTTTTCTTTTTGAAGGGACGCAACATCTTAGTTGTAAACATGTACCCCTTTCATGATTTTTGGTTTCGGTACATTTGTGATTAAAATTTCTTTATCAAGATATCCCTCACAATTGCTTTTTTTTCTTATGAAGCAGTCGGTGTGCTATTTAATTTTAGTACAAAATTTCCTTCGAACTGTGTGTATAATTTAATACCATCTCAATGTACCCCGGACCATTTCCAATGTATCAAAATAGCTATGTTTGAAAAAGAGGTTTTCATTCCGAGTACATCAATCTGAAATATAAGTTAGTGTACTTAACTATCCAAAACTGAGGCTTTACATAATATTGTGGTAATCGTCGAGAGTGTTTGGAAAATAAAATTTCCCACAAAATGTTTGTAGACAATACATTTCATTTTGTTTTACCTCGTATGCCAGTTCATAAAACTGCTTTTTATGGGACATATTTTTTTGTTATATAAATACACTTAATATTTATCGCCTATTTAACATGATTTCGTCGGGTATAAAACCCTATCGGTAGATGCCATATAAAACCGGTTATAAACAATTTCAACTCAATAAAAGTACGTTGTGGCCCAATGCAAATATTGATTTCCCATTTAAAGTCTGAAAATTGATAAAAAATATGCCTTTTATTGTAATGTTAGGCATGTATATTGGAGTTTTTTTTCCAAATTATATTCCTTGTCTGCGGAAATAAAAACATTTAATTATAAATGAAATCTCATTGCTCATTTGCCGACTTTAGAACTTGAAACTAACAGCAAAGTAAATGCATACCGAATTGAACATGAAAAGTACGACAATTCTAACATTTAATTTCTTGCATTAATTATTTTAAAAAAGAACTTTTTTCGCCCTGAGATTGGAGGAGAATTATTAAAAATATTTTAATATAAAGCTGATGTATGGTGCCCATTTGTATTTCTGCATCCCCGCTAAGAACGGCAATGGTCGGATGAAATAGGATATATAGAGTCAAGTTGCATGGAATTTACATAAAATAAAGAAGATAATTCAAGCAATTTTGCACTCAGCATTTTCCTAGTGCATTTAGGAATCATTCAGCAACATTGATGTTTATCTTTATGTTAAAAAGAAGTAAAATATTTTTTCCTAAACATAAAGCAGGTGAAATAAAAAAAAAAGAAATTAATATATTCCAAAATTAAAATAAAAAATGGGAGAATTAATGGCTAAAATCGTCCGCTCTCCAATTTTTTAAAAGTAAAAATAATCCTATGGGATTATCATTTCTTCTCGTCTTTTGGCCACTTAAAGCAAACTAATATTAATAATTTAAAATATTACTTCCGAATATTGCGAACTTCTTGGAAATTTCAGAACTCTGCTAAAATTCGGTAAAGTAATTATTTAAATAGAAACTTGAACTTGGGCTAACGAAAATCATGCAGCTGTGCGAAGATATCAAATAGGTAGTTACCTACAATTTTGTCTAGAAGGAGTAACGAGGAGCGATAAATTTAATGCTTCTGAACTAACTCATATATTTGGGATATAAAACTGGACCAAACAATAAATACACAAAGTAATATACACATAGAACGTTGAGCAATGCATGATTGAAGCGTCAGAATAAATTCGGTACATATTTAGAGCTTTTTGTTTTTTATCTGCATGAACTATACATACACTTACTAATAACATATATTTTTTTATTTTCTTTGTAGTACTGTTCAAATGAATGTATAACGATATATTAACCTCTTCATCTTGTGAAGTTTCAGTTTTCTAATCTTTATAATTTTTTTATATTTTATTATTATATGTTTTTAGTTATGATAATTTTCATATTAATTTCATGAATTCTTTATTCATTTGTAATGTTACAGTCAAATTGCTACTGATAGTGAATTTTATTCAGTAAGATTGAAATAAAAATATTTTTTTAAAATCAAAAATTGCTATGGCATATAATTAATATACGAAAGTGTACCCGCATTATTTGTCCTTTGAATTTTTGGCTCTGAATAATGGAATATTTTCCTCACTTACACTCTGGAAAATATGTTGAAAAATTTGTTCAATTCAGTTCAGTTGAATTTGGCGTGCATTATGGAACCATATTATTTCCTGATTAGAGTTAAAGTTTTTCCATCTACTCATCCAGAATTAACCACATTTATTATCTTTGGATGAAGGTCTTCTGTAAGATTCCCTATACCTATCTCAATGAATTTCGACTTTGCAGTTGCTAAGGTTATGTTTTAAAAATATATTATTATATTGTTCCTTTCCTCAGCCCCGGCTGTAAATAAATGCCGATTTCCAATGTGGATAGCGAGCTACACCCACTGGCACACGCTAGACTACTCAGTCAGTTACAGCTTTCATCACAGGAACTCGACGTTGAGGATAAGCAATTCGAGCGGAGTCGAAATGAAAATTGTATGCGTGCAAGTGAAATATCCCTCCGCTGGACGCATCGATGGGCACAATCACGTACTGTTGGTGACGCATTTCACTACGGGCTGGTAAGCTTATATTTTTCGCACGTTTATTTATGAATGGATACCTGCGAAATAATATTTCGGTCATACTTTATTATTGTGGGTACTGTGTTATGTGTCAATCATCTTGAGATTGCAGTTATTTCTAGTTTCTTTTGGGAAGCTTTATATGTGAAAAAATGCCTTTTCCACATGTAGAACTTACAGTTCTAAATGAAACAAAGAATTAAAGATTTGGAAAACACTTTAAAATGTGTAAAATAAAAATAGCAAACTTTGATGTAATTTCAAACAACCCTCTTCAGTCCCCTATATTAAGACAGTTCAGAACGTGTAGAGATATTAATGCACCTCTGATTAGAATGGCAGAAGAATCACTACGTTTATTTTCGAATCGTTAAAAACACAAGGCTATCTTTTGTTGCAATAAAAGTAGTATCGTTGCATTTTTTTTTTGTAAAACGACCTCTAGCGACGAAACAAGCAAGCAATCTAAATCTGTCCGCTCAGGGCTGCTTTGATGGCGTAACAAAAGCTCTTATCAATAACTACGAGTTTGTCAAAATGTGTGCAACCGTTCTGAACTTATAGATATTTATTTCCGAAAATGTTCTTACAACCCACACCACTTTCCCTTAAGATAGAACAGAATCTATTCTACTAAAATAAATCAAATTTATACCAACTATAGTTACTTAAAATATAAGATTATTTCTCAAAAAAAGGGGTTTAAAATTCGAGAATGCGATTACGCTTCCGGGGGGCGTTTTCAGCCATCGAGTTGTCATTGTTTTATTATTTTGGGTAAAACATGTTCTCCAAGTCGGCATTTTTTTACTTCACTTACCTTTTTTATGGACAACCGAGAAGAACATTATTTTTGTCCAAAAAATTATCAACATCATAATAAAAGAATCTTTGGAGGCAGGAAAAATGCTGAATTTTTCAGATTTAATAGTTTTTGAACCGTTTTCTTAGTTTGGGATGTAATCGACAATCGCCATACGCAAAAGCGACCCCTTAAATTGTTAAACTCGGAAAATTTCTGACCGTAATTTCATCTTCCGGAAATACCCAAATAAAATTTTCCCGTTCACGTAAAATTGAAATATCTAATACGTTTTTGTTCGGATACATCTCGATACGTCGAAACTGACCGAATCCGGTTTTCGTTGATTGCAGCCAAACTGGCTTCACTTGCATGTCCTTTTATCGAAGGGACAGCCACGTAGCAGAAATACAAATTGGATCTCATGCGAAGCGTCCGGAGGACGCCTGCGGCCCGCCCTTTTTCAACAGGACCAATTTGCCATACGTCACGTTAGTCAGTAAGTATTATTGTTACTGTATTTCTTTGCGCCGAAATATTCATCGAATATACCGTGTGTGATAATAATAATAATAATAATATTGCTAGCGTCGAGCGCAATGGAAGAAACTAATCGCTACAAACAAGAGGTTTAGTGATTTTGTTTGAATGTTCTTTTTATCATTGGATATATTTATTAACGGTTTCTTGGTTCATACAACTAACGATTTTTGTCCTCTATTGTTATTTATTTTCGGAATTACTTTGATTTGGAGTCGTTAAAAAGAACTTTTCCTATGCTATCATTCTTTTTTTTTTGTGACAATTTGAAAAAGAAATCTGCGAAAGGATATGACTTTTTACCTCATCAAATGGTCAAAAAAGGGCGAAACAACCCAGCGAAAACCGCATTATCGTAATCCAATCCTAAAATCCTAAAATAAAATGCTAAGTTTGTATTTCATTATATTATTACCATTAATTTTTTCATTAATAATTATGTTTTAACTAATTAAAACTAATAAAAGACTAAACATGTTTGCAATAGATTGGGATGACAATAATACAATCTATTTAGCCGGCCTCCATTTACCTATTTTGTATTTTTCCCTTTTACTTTAACTTCTTTGAAATGAACTACTTTTTTTTCAATTCTTTAGTTTACGAATTGCTTCGGTTTTTCGACATAGTTTAATTACATTTCAAATAATAATCGTGCAAAAACACGTCTTGACTGTTTAAAAAAACCCAGTTAAACTTTATCCCCTTTAGTCTCATCCTTTATTATGTACTCAATTCTTACGACTCGTTGGTGGGACCAAAAGTATTCGTAGTAATAATAAAAATTATTGAAATTAGGTAAACATTATTATATACAAATCTTCTGGATGAATCGAACCTGCTGATGTTTCGCCAATCATTCTGTTGGTGGACTGAAACAGTTTCAGTTTAGCTCTAAATAGGCATCTCGTATCTAAAATACAGAACTGCCTACATCTTATGGAAAGATTTTATCTAGTTTAATGCCCCTAAAATCTCGGATACGCCTCATAAAAAAAGTTCACCAAAATAGCGTGTAGTATTTTGCACGCTAGAAACAAAAAAAATAAGTATTAAAGTGACACCGAAGCAATTCTGAAGATTGATTAAATGCCTATTTCTTATAGCTTATATGTGTCGCAAGCTGATGGAATGTCGATAATAATACACTTATTTAAATACGAGAAAACACAGTACCCAAAATATGGTTTCAAAAGATCAGTTCGATGTATTGCCTTTCTTCTTCTTCATATTGCTTCTCCACTATCGTAAGTTTGCTAACATCGTAGCAATCCTGACCTTGACAATTGCTGCTCTGGAAAGTTCGATTATTGCTGATTTCGCAGCCATGTTATTCTTCTTCTCCAAATTGACCTTCTGCCCACAATCTTCCCCTGGATTATCAAGCGAAGTGTCTCATATTTTGGAGCCCGCATTATGTAATGTGACTCAGATGATCTCTCCTCTTTTCACTTCCTTTAACATATCTAATTATTTGTTCATTCTTATAAGCATTTCTGCTTTGGTCGTGTGCTTCACCCACGATATTTTGATCATTCGTGTGTAGGTCCACATGTCAAATAGTTCCCGTTTGCAGGGCGTTGTTTTTTATTATAATCATGTTGTGTTAAGTATCCAATCAAAATGCACAGTGGCAGTGACGACCTTGTTCAGTAGTTCTTGTAAGTAATGCATGTTTTCAACAAGAAGGACAGTGTGGTCTGCATAGCGTGCTATTAATTGTCTTAACAGATGCAGTGATAGCTCCCGAATATCATACACGGCCTCTGGTGAATATATCTTCAGAGAAGATTTTGTATAAAAGCTTCGAAAAGACACATCCCTGCCTTATGTCCCGTTTGACATCATGGGGTCAGTCGTAGCATTTTGTACTGTTACTGTTGCCTTGTGGTTTAAGTAAAGGTTTGCAATGATCCTGATATCTCGCGAGTCGAGGTTTTTCTGATTTAACACTTCTACTAGCTGGTGATGCTTGACTCTATTAAACGCCTTATTGTATTTTGTAAAGCATAAACTTCCTCATCAATATTGCGTTTATCTACCTTTTTTAATTCTCTTTTTTTGTTTTAATGAATTTTTGTTATTGATTTTTCTGGCTATTTTGTTAGAGATAAAAAGGAAAAAAAAAACCGTTTGTATACACAAAAAAAATAGATCATCGATAATGTTCTGGTTTATTCTTTTTCCTTTTTGGGTAACGGGTTATGTTATTTATTTTGAAGTTTTTATGTGTCATAAACCAATAACTTTTACAGCACCAATTAAGAAGGGCTAGGTAACTACACTTCTACTTAAGAAATTAGGATGAACTACTTTCTTAAATATCAATATTATCGATGAACTTAATTTCTTAAAGTTTCGTGTGTGCTATTTTTTGGCTTATGTTTAATTCTAAAACAGTATTTAATTTACAGCTAGCGTCGTAGATCAACCTACGAAAGCTTGTCCTTACATGGGAAAGTTCGACGTAGATAATCTCTACAGAAGAGACGACAATCTTTACCCCAAGTATTCCCAGCAAGAATCCGAAGATCGGTATTTCGACAAGAAATACTACTTGAGCAAATTATCTAACCACGAACTGGTAGAAGATATCCTAGTCAGATCGAAAAGAGTCGATCCTGACAGCGACTGTGATAGCAAAGCGTTTTCGAGTTTAGTGATTGGCTGTAACAACCACGACGTGATGGAGTTCAATAGCGAATGTTCAACTCCGGATTTAATTACTTGTGAGTAGAGCGGTCTTTGCAATGTAGAGACGATAATTTAAATAATTTCATTAAATATATGAAAAATCTACTAAACAAATACGTGTATAGTGTGTAATCTATGATGTTTTGGCAGATGCTTTTATAGGCAAGTACAATATTTGCCACTGATCTATCTCATTATTCTAATGAAATTTATAGGAATACCCTAAAAACCAGCTTTTTACATGATGTTATAGGTTTCTGACTTCATGCTAATTCTATTTCATTTGTGCTGAAGGTGGTATCTTGATCCTGATATTTATAAGAGATACATTTCTTTCCCATATATTCTGCCAAAAAGATTTTATTCTATACCCTGCATGTAAAATAATATGAAGCGTTTAATAAATACGTACTAAGACTGTAATTGGATTTGTGTAAAATTAAATTACAAATTATTAAGTAATGATTTGCGTGTGGAATCGGCAAATCAAATATTTAATGTAACAAACAAAAGTAACAAAATGATAATTTACTGTTGAATAAACATTCCGTATAACAATTTCAACATTCGAAAGGCATACGCAACCGTTAAATTGCTTTATCTTTCCAACAATACTAAAACTTCTTTCAGATTCTTTCGTTTTAAGCAATTTCAGCTATTGTGATATAATATGCGAACCATTTATTGTCCGAGAAGATTAATTGCGTATACAGAAAGTACAGAAATCCCGTCTTCGGTTTTGCTTAATGGAATTAAGAATTACCAACCATTTATAAATCTTCTGGATCCCTCCTCGGCTGTTGATGAATCGACCTGAAACTACCTGTTTATATACGTACTTTTTGAGGGAACCGGAACTTAATAAGAAGCATGAACATTTGTTTGTTTAGAGATTTCTATAGATTCTAGGATTTTTCTTTGGTAGCGGAGTTAATTACATGCGAGAATTTTAATTTGGTCCACTTAGATTTGATATATGTTCTTATTATTATGTTCGGCAACTGCTTATAAAGTCTATTTGTCGTAGTCGTATGTTCCTGTCCTTTTAGCCTAGTTGATATTTTTCGTCCTCTCTCTCATATTTTTTTTTGTCATTGATCGATCGAAAATGTGGAGAAATTTTTGAACAAGTGGCAAATCTGGTTTTGACGTTCTATTTCTTGAGAACCTTTGGTGATGTTCCAATGTAAAAAAAATATATTCCAGGCAAGCATTGTTGATGAGAAGTTTTGGTTCCAGATTCTCAGCTTTTGATATATCTGAGGTTTTCAGGAATAGGGACTTTGGTAAAGAGAACTAACCAGAATATCCTGTGGATTTAATGCAATGCTTGTTAATTGTTCAAAGGAATTAAGTACAAAGCTATCAGTTTTCTCTGTAAAAGGTTTTAATATAGAAGCTAGATATTTTGCTAGAGAATATGTTAGAGAACCAATGGTGCTGACAATAGGTTGAAGGGGTAATCCTTCAAATGTATGTTGGGGTGTATAGAGTGTATTGGGAGTAGGTTAAGAAAATATCGGAGAGGCAAATAACAAAACAAATGGCATCCCCATAGTTTGGTTTCAGATGGAAAGTGTCAATGGTTTTATTCTCATAAATATATCTGCATGGAATTGAATAGTGATAATGGAATAGTTTTTATTTGTTGTCAGTTAGAAACTGTGTTTCTTGTAAAGGGTTTTAATATATAAGCTTGATGTTTCGTTAGAGAATAGGTTGGAGAACGAATGGTGCTAGCAATAGGCCGATGTGGTTTGTAAATCTTAGGCAGCAAGTAGAAACGAGGAATTTTAGGGTCGTGAGGGGCGTCACGGATGCTAAAGTGGAGGAACACCATTTTAGTAATAATAATAACTGTGCCAATAACTTCTTAGCGTTAATCAATATTGCTTAGCAATATGTCCAGCATAGGGATGACTTTAATTATTAGTCACTCAAAAATATCAAATAGGCTGATATTTCTGTAAATTGTTTTGTTTTGTTTAACATTTAGGAAAGAAGTTAACTCTTAATCCCACATTTAGTTTTATTATCTAATTTAATTATTAGAAACAAAAAACTTACAACCAATCAAAATATTGTCAAGAGAAATTACGATGTAAAATGACAATTACCTTAACAACAAATTCCTATCTGAATTCTAAGCGACAAAGCAAAAATACATAATTATATCGTAAGAAATTCCATTAACAAGTTGATTTATGTTTTCTGACTAGACACCATTTTAAAGTGGTTCGCTTGTAATCCAGGTGCAATTTGGAAATGCAGTATTCTTAATAAAACTCTAAAATATTTTGCCGGATTCGCGACTAAGCGGTTTTCCTGTTTGTAATAAGAAAGTGGGTAGCGAAACTTTGAAACTCGCGCAACTTGTAGTTTAACTTTTTAGCTACAAATGTATTATTCACGGTGGCCGACAACAACCGTACCAAACTTTAAGCCTGACAGAGGCAGCTCAAGAAATTCAGCCATTTCAGACTAAATTATTAAAATTTGTAACAGCATATGTCAACATAGAACGTTAAGTTTAATTTGTTTACTTCTAAGTAAACAACAACCAGATTCGAATTTAATTTTTAAGTGGAAATGACGCAAATGATAATGTAAAAAATAATATTTAAGCACCGATAAAATTCGTTCGCTACAAGAAAAAGCTGTCCTAAAAATAATAATAGACAAAGACAATAATTTGTAAGTATATCGCCATCATCAAGTGCATGGGTAGCGGATTTCATTTCACGAACTGCAATTCACTCAGAAATGTTTCGCGCTTTCACGAAATAGTGATAGGTTTGAAATTATTTGGAATATCCAGATCTCCTTTTTTATGGAAGATAATTATCCCAGAAATTTTCAAATATGGAAACTTTTCGTTGGAAAATACTGCACAATATGCTTTACGGTGTGCTTTATATTTTTGAACATTAGCCGAAGCTCTCAGTGGGACTCAAATTGATTAGGCTCACAATTATGTCGTGCATCTCGCTTACGGAGAGAGAAGAAAAATTCACTAGCGGAATTGAATTTTTGTCATTAATTACATTTATGATTGATTTGGGTCTAATCTTTGAAGATCATTTAGTTTCGTAATTAAGCAAATCCCAGTAGCCCATATTGGTGGATCTCTAACGATTTTTTTTTATAATTAGCATTGGTCAGTCTATTCTCTGACCGACGAGGGTAAACAATACTCGACACTTAATTTTTAGATATAGCACACCATCTCTTTTATTTCTGAGAACTCTGTCACCCCAAGGTACAAGGTGTAGGTGTAATTATCTCTCTAACTACTTTGAAATCCTTTTTTAATCAGAGCCGTCCGAGTATTTGGTCTAATTTCGGTAGGATCCTCAACTATGGAACAACACACATACACAAATATTGCAGAATGATCATAGAGCGCTGGATCCACATTACCCGCAGTGAATAGAGTAAGAATATGTTTATAAAAAAATTATCAATGCAGTTTGACGAAGTTTTAGTCGTACGAGTAATATCGGTAACTGTAGAGAATATACCAAAAGTGGCAAGTAGGAGGTTAAGTTAAATTTAATATGAAAGTTGTAATGGTTTCAAGAAAAAAAAAAGTGTAGTGGCAACAGTGCGGGGTAGTAGGCGAGGAGAATGAGAACGTCAGGAGGAAGGCCGGCGGCGCTCGACGAGTGAGGAGTGCGTCGAAGAGTTTCCAAAAATTGATGTCGATCGTATTCGGTAAATTTGTAAGAATGTAAGGTCCGAGTGTAGAAATAAATGCTGTTGTTAAAACCGTCTTCCCCTTGTTTCGACGAACCCGGATCCCTGATCTACTTCAAAGTCACCGTAATAATAAAATTTCTTTTTCAACACTACAGGTCATTTGGAAGCGAGGTTTTAAACTAGGTATCAGCAGATAAGGGTCGCCCTGGCTCCCCGATCTGCATACGTTTATGAACGCAGTAATCTCGTGGATTATCGGAACACCGCAAAATTCTTTGCTGATATTTAAAGAGTATTTGTTTAAATTTAAGGTTTTGCACAGAAGAAGACAGCAGTCGGTACCTGAACCAGACATGTTAATGGAAGCTTGGTTAATTATTTCATCATCACACTTATTGCTCGCTGCAACCTCATGTAATGTCCAGCGACAGCTTTTGTGGTGGGGATGTAATCTATATACTTGGTCACAGAAATTAACATTCGTTCGAGTTTTTAATAGTTTAAAATAAAAACATATGTGATGCCAAGAAATGCTTCAATTTCTTGAATTTGGTGTGATGCTATGCGATTTTCTTCAAAGTGTATAAATCATGAGAAACCTAATGCACAATTGTTCGAATCCGTTCAGTTCCTTTCAATTTCACATTACGATTCACTCTAAGAGGACGTTAATAACAGAAAGAATATAATCAAGAGCTGTCCTGACTTCCAGCGGTGAGCTGTACACTAGCGCCATCTATTTACACGATCCAAAACAATTGGCAGATGCAATTTAGTATTTTTCTAATCCTAGATAGGTATTTATTATGACTGTGCGTCGAGTCGTTTATGACCACATTAGATAGTTCCGTCTGTAAAATCGAAAACTCTTCCTTCAGCCTACACTTGTTACGGACAATGGGAGGAAAACGGAACGAACTATTTGATTACGGCGCCTGTAAGTAGATCGTATGGAGGTAGAAGATTTTGTTTTATGTACAAAGAAGTCAGTCCGCAAATGGTGTCCTTTTCGGCTTCAAGCTTATGCAATCGTCTAATTCAACCGGGTATTTCGGGTGAACTAGTCTTCAACGTTACTAGCACAGGTAAGATAACAGCGAAGATATGTTTAATATACATCGTAAACGTAAACATATTTGCAATAAAGCTATAAAGTAGTAAAATAAAAGTAAAAACACACAAGTAGTGTAACAGTGGGATTTAGTATACACGTAATTGATTTTTTGTACTATTATGAATGTATGATCTTTTCTGCTGATGCATCTTAATCCATTAAAAAAAAAAGTCTCATTTTCAACGTTTCAGCGGTGGACTGCATTTGTTGAACAAGTCTTATTTTTATTATGTTACACACTATATAAATCAAGTAACGAGAAATAATAGAAAGCTTTAATGTATGGTGCTTTTATAGATATATATCTTATTGAATATAATTAAAATACTTGTTCCGATCTTATTGTGTTGAGGGGGTGGGGGCTTAGAAATAAACATGCTGCAAATCAGCAGGGTGAACCGATGCTTTGAAAGGTTTTTAATTAATTTGATTTTGGACAGTATTAATCCATCTCTTCTGGACTATTTGTTTCTACTACTAGTCAGGCGACCGAGTTGGCCAAATTACTGGGCTACCTCGACCTATATCCACTTGTTTCTAAAATTTTCATTTAACCAGTTTCTTACACTCTGATCACAGTGCTCTATTATACTTAAAGAATATCTCCAAACGAGGACATATTAGCATATTCTCTAACAAATATTAGGCTATAGCTATTAACGTAAACTTAGTTCGAAAAAATTGGAAAAACACTAGGTTCCTAATTAGTCCAGAAATGCGCATTGTAAGTAAAAGATTTATGGCTTGAAAATGTTGCCTCATCAGCCCATAAAATTTTGTCCGAAATATCTTGATGGCCTGGCAAAATTCTAGAGGATTTGAAATGTCTTCGTTCTTAAATTCTGCAATTTATAAAAAAAGTCTCCATATGAAGAGATCTAAACATTATATCAGTAAAGTTACAGTTATTTCAAAAAGGTGATATCTCACAGGAGTTCTAATGCTACTTGAGAATTTTCCTCAATTCTTAGCACTACCTCATAATCAAAATCTCCAATAGGCCTTCTTTGTCTCTAAGCTCGACTAAACATTCCACGGATTCTGCCTTTCTGCCTTCTGATGTGGTTGTTGCATTTATTGAAACGGTCATTCATACCGATGTGCAGCTGCACCCGTGTTACCATTGCAAAAACCGCAAATAAAATAAATATCTGCTAATTCTCTGTTTAAAAAACACTCCGTATTTATAAAAGTAAAGCTCCCCCTATCTTTAAAAGTGGGGTTTTTGTCCATTTTTGATTGGTGCAATAAATTTGGGAGACTAATATCTGTACTGACAATCGATTTATAGCATACAAGTTCTCCAAAGTTTGATTATCGGTTAGATTATGTTCAGATTGAAAAAGAAAAGAAACACCTGGAAATAATACTTAGGGAGTTTGATAGTGATTTTCTAAATGCTCTACCTCCACGTAACAAAGCAAACACTTGGTATCAACTCGATGGCGCACCCACATGTTCTATTGCACCAGCAGTTGACGCTAATATTTGTAAATTGGTAGATTGGTCCACAAGGACCCTAGAACTGGCCCCCATGGTCACCTGATTTAACGCCCCTCGATTTCTACCACTGGGGCGCAAAAAATAATAAATAGAAGTAAGAGAAAATCTAAAAATTTTCAAAAAAAGAAAGATATCTGAGATACAGTTGCAAATTGGTGGGAAAAATAATGTTCCATTTTAAATGAGAATGTTAATAGCGACTTCCGTTGTAACCGGAAGTGGTGCGACCATCAAAGGATTGAAAATAAATCTTGAATAACCTTAACTAAGTTAATTTCAATTTCAATCAAAATTTTTTCTTAACCCGAAAAACTTATGAACGAACCACTACTGTGGGAGATGGGTGCATTATTATCCTTTCAAATAATAATTTTAACCCAGCCCCAGTCACAAGGTCAAAACTATTTATCTGTAAAAGCACTATACTAATTCAGATTAACGAAGCGTTAAATTTTAGAGAAAAAATACGCCATGCAGTCAAGCCGAAGTTGTTACTTGTATTTTTTTTTAATTCAAAATGATTTACTATTGTATGGAAAGTGTTTTAAAATGCCAAATTGTAATTGTAATTAAGTAATTATGTGCCGTTTTGTTTTAGGTAAATGTGCCATATCCAGCGTGTCAGCAATAGCGAGGCCGCCATTATTGTTTACCCTTTTAATTCTTACGTTCTCCTACAAAATTCTAAATTCTTCAATAAGTGTTCATGTTCCAAGATGATTACGACACCACCGGTTTTAGTAGTACATGAACAAATATTGTGAGACTGTAAAAAATCAACGGTTGTGGTTAAATAAAAAATAGGAAGAAATTCGAACTATGTAAGTTCTTTTAATAAAAAACAATAACTGGTAAGGCGAAGCTGCGAGTTTTTGGCGCAATGGACGTTTTTTTGGATCACTAGTAATTGCGAAAAGAACATGTAGTAACCGGTAGTCTTCTATTAGAATTTATTTTAGACTTTCAACTTTGAATTGTAAAAAGGCCGATGTGATTAAATTTACTTTAAAAGAATTTTCCAATTTTTAGAAATATTAGTTAAAGATATTGATACGACGAAAACCTCGAATGCTGAAGTTATTCTTATGGAGCGCTAATGGCGTCGTCAATGCTTATATGAATGGAGTCGCTTTCATAGAAACGTAAAGAAACTTTAAATACTAATAAGCTTGTTGTCCTTTTGATCGTCTTCTTATAGGTCTCTATGAGTGTCACATAAAATAGTTGTTGTAAAAGACGCACCTATAGGTAGTATTCAGAGAACTAAGCTAAGTCTCACCCTACATTACTACAGCATTTTACACATCTCAACGATACAGGCATAACATTGGAGTAAATTTCCAGAACAAGCTTTAGTGGTATTCGCGAAAAGCTGATCAGATTGAACCATTTTTCACCTTTTCTTTTAAAATACACGATATTCATAAAAAGAAAAAGATCAGTAATTATGGTTAACATGAAATTTTATTTTTATTTTTATTTATTTATTTTTTGATAGATAGAACTTTGTTTTAAAAATGCATTCTTGTTATACAGGGTGTCCTAGGCGTGTTCAAGTTTTATTCTGTTTTATTTATTTAAGGTGGGTTTAATTAAGGTTTGATGAACCTAGAACAGTTGGTGCGTTTTTTATCCAACATTTAAACGATAAAACTTGTTTAATCAAATATTATAGTGACCTATTATACCGAATTAGTAAAAAGTACCGAACTCAAGAATAGTGAACTCTTTTATTGCCTAAACTGGTTTCAGATGGAGGTAACTAAATTTTAGATGGTCTGGATATTTCAGAAGTTAATCGACGGTCGGGTATTAAAATTACATTGAAGATATTTTAAGATACTTTTAATTGTCATTAAATTTTAATTAATTGTATTTTATATAAAAACCATCAACCAAATGAAAATATTTTTAATAATTATATATAGCCTGTAGCTAGTCCCCAAAAATCCCAAAAGAATATTACTCCAAGTTAGGCAGTACTGAGATCACGATTAAAGCAGGATCTCCGTTGGGAAACTACACAAAAGTAAAGCAAGCAAAGTAAATGATAACGGAATTTTTGGGTGTTTTACTTAGTGTCCATGTTCTCTGCATCACGAAAAAGGGTATTAAAATTTTTTTTTTCGCGATGCTAACTCTCCACCAAAGAAAAACTGTCAGCGTTACCTTTCTGCTATTAATATCTTTAACATATCCGCTCTAGCATAAGGAACGATATTATAGAACCGTTACCGTAGGTTTGCGATAAAAACTTCGATATTACAATATCATAAAATTATTAGTTGGTCGCTCGCACACCTGTAGAAATAATTGTTAAAATGTTTTTCAAAATACGCACCTAGAATCGAAAAGCAAATGTACATTATGCAGCCGTCTCTTAAGTGCAGTTTTGATTTCCTTATATATTTTTCGATGCCTCAGGCAGAGGGTCAAAGTGTCGAGAGTTCTACACAAATAACAGACCATAGTATAAATCAACTATTTCCTCCTGTTTTTAAGTATTATCCTATTCAATATATATCGGATATTAATTATGAAAAAATGTTGCACATGCAATATTGAGGGCTTATATCTCAACAACTAACGAAGAAATAATTTTGACTAGTATTTTTCAATAACAAAATGTGGTCGTGCAACATATACAGGGTCTCTTAATAAGGGAAACGAGGTACGATATTATAGACACGGACAATCCCTAATTGTTATGTCAAATGTTAAAACGCGGCTTCTACAGAAATTTCTAAATTTAACCATATTTACATAGTTTTGGTTAATTTTCACAATGGAATTAATTACATTGAACGCCATGTATCTCCGAAACAAGCAACATTTGTATGAAAGGAGTTGGGTTCAATCATTCTAATTTTGTTTCTAGTACATCCAGTTTAGAGATTGCCCATTGTTTGAAAATTATAGTTTCTATTTGAAGGAAATGACTTGATATGATGATATTTTCATTCAAATTTTGTTTATTTTTCTATTTTTAACATATCAACACAGGTCACGATGGGGTAAATCTTCTCTTATAAACAAATCCGAAATATGTGCTCCAGTAATGGAAACATCGGTCAAAACAAAATGATGGAAATGATTTTCGAATATGCAGTTTCTTATTTAATGCTGTTTGCTCTATCTCTGGAACTAAAGTGATGGCTGGTGTTGGAAATTTTTCTTAAATAAATATTTTAACAAACCTGGGCTCGTTAAAAGGGGCTTAGGCTATCAGTCGTGCGATTGTTATTGCTTACCGCCACCAGGTCGATTTTACATCGCAAACTAAATAATTTTCTGTGAAAATAACAAATGCGACGATATGAGTTTTTTCCGAAATTAGATAGCTATTGGCAACAAGCCTCATCTAAATATCTTTATCTCAACCTAAAATATGGATAAAAGAATTAAATACTATAATTGATGTTTGGATGCGTATTGTCACTTACAAGTGTTAGTGTTACTTAAGTCAGTAATTCTGACTTATTTTTAAGAACTTAGTTTAAAAATTCTGGTCATGGGTTATTTTGTTATGCGGAAAACCAACCATCGACACTGAAAATTAGCCTCGAACTTTGACCTTGGAATGTGTATTACGAAATTTGTGTCTTAAAACTTTCTTTTTATTGCGTATCAACGGAAGTGCATTTACTTTTCGCATTCTTCGTACCATAGAACAAATCTTTTAATCTGTGATTGTTTTTCATGGAAAATGAAAAAGAAAAAACAAACAGCGGAAAATGATGAAAAATGCAGTTATAAATACAAAGTATTTTTGCACAGAAAACATTTTTTCTTAAATACGTGAAGCGTTAAATGATACTGAGGTGATATTTTTGAACCAGAAGCAATATTACAAACCTTTTCTTTGGTTTATAAGGATAGTGTTCTTATCGTTGTTTTTGTTTAAAAAATTAAGGTTATTTCGTAAGCAATAATATAAGATAGTATATAAGAACATTGTATAAATATACAAAAAGTTGACATAATGTACCATGCGTAAAATAACACTGTACGGTTAGTAAATATTTAACGCCCAATTTGTGGAAAATCATCTCTTATAGAAATGAAAATATTCCAGGTAGAGCGGAATTTGTTTATAAAAAATTTCTCCATGCTTTTTCTAAACAATGTCTTGTGTTCAACAATGACACCACTACTAGGTTAAATGTTAAAATACAGCTCGTAAAGGCTATGTCAACTTTCGAAATATACAAAGTTATGGTGAAGTACATACTACAAGAAGACCACATTTTCAATAAAATAAATTACAAGTGGAGTAAGTGATATTTCGATTTTTGCAATTTTCTAGATCACCGCGATTCAGCTCTTAATATGGGAGTTTTGAGGGTTGTCCATTTGTGAATTGCAGGCATTTTTCATAGGAGTGAAATTGCTTGATCCTGAAATTTCAGTTAAAACTTTTGAATTTCATTATTAAATTAAATTTTCCACGTATTCTTTGGCGACGGTCGAAGATATCGATCCTCCTTGTCGCTTCAGATTAAATATGTGTCATACTCTGCAATAGCAACAAGTATAGCTGAAGTTTTTGAAATTCAATGACCAGTGTAGGCATCAGAATTTTTTTTCCGAAATCATTTATTCCGACAATATCTATATCATTGTGATTTTAATGAGTTTAATGAATAAAATGAATAAACATATAAATTAATCATTAAAAATGTAACCTTCAAATAAGATTCGTCTACAGCTGTTATGAATTGATTAATTTCCCCTCAATTGCTTAGAATAGTTTCCAATTGACGATTTGTTGAAATATGGAACCAGGTTGGTAAAATTTTTAAAATCCACGTTTATTGCGCCTCTTTAAAAAGGTAGCCAGTTAAAAAGGTAGGGTCGCTATATCGAAAGGTAAGTGCCGTAATGACTTGAAGTGAAAAAAACTATAACTGAAGCGGCCAAATGACAATGCTGGAAGTTATTTTTAGGTTTCTAGAATGACCGTAACTTCAAAATAATTTTTAATTCTTTATTTATAATAAGCATTTTGTTATCCTCAGGCTTCCTGATTCTCATTTTTTGTTTTAAAAGATAATATACGTTTTTAAATACATTTTTAGAATTGTTAAAATGTAAAAGATATTTGAGAAATATATTCAACCAGATATCTTCTGGTCATTGACTTTGCGAAGCGAGCTGAAACGGTATTTTTCGATTAAGTTGCATACCCTACAAGATTTTTTCTTTCTTAAAAAGTTGTTACTTGGATACTAGTTTCATAAGACTAATAGGCGAGACTTGCCGGAAGTAGATCTTTGCTCTGTATTATATATAATACGGTATACCGTAATATTTCAGAAAGTTGCGTTATCCGATTAAAAGATGATTTTCTTCAAAATTGAATCCTATTTTAAAAAGAAGTTCTTTATCATGAGAATTAACATCATCTTTCAAATCTAGCGAGTTTAGTTTACGCGATCCGAAAAATGTTTAAGAAACGTTATGAACTTTCCAAGCAAAATGTTATTGGGAGTATGATTTAATAATTTCAAAACTTTTTGAATAGTGTGGCGGTGCACAAGTTAAATAAATTAATAAATTTAGATAAAGTACTTAGTCGCCGACGAATGTATTTTATACATATCAGTATTGAAAATTTACATTAAATTTAACTTAAGGTCAAGATCCCTTATAATCATACAGATACAATGAGATTCACAGTTAGACTTGAACTCAAGGTTGCCGGTGATAAATAGCATGTTATGCAAATGACAAAATTTTGTGAACAATGAGAACATGAACGCCTAAACTGGCAGCTATAGTGAATCACCCTATATATTACGCCATTTTTAGTTAGGTGAAATAATAAAAAACTAAAGGATCCACATTAGTTACGTGAAGATATGATCATTTGTCTAGTTATTTGTTTTGGGCGAGCTAGAGTCATTATATGCCTGAAATTGTTTTATTCCTACGACATATACAATGTCACTAAAGTCGGTATCGTATGGGAATGTAGTTTTTTATGGAGTTGAGAGCCAAATTTTGTTTTTAAATATTTGTCTTTATCTGCCACAATTGATGTTTTTTGCAAAAGATATTTAGAATTTTTTTTTTTAAATATCTCAAAATTTTATTGTAAAACGTTCTACTTAATTAAACTGTTTTTCTTTAAATTCATCCTAAACAGTCTATTTAAAAGGAAGTGTTCAAAGGTTGATGCCAATTTAATTGGTTTTAATATTTGATATACAGGGTGATTCAAAACAAATGCGAAAAACTTATGGGGGAAATTTCAACAATAAAATACTATGGAAGTATTACATTCTGTATATATATTTTTTTATTGATTGAAAAAATTACTTACCGCATTAATAATTTTTGTCTTTATTTGTACGTTCTTTTATAATAACAAATGGAAATTTCCTAAAACAATGACATTTGTAAATACAAAAATTGTTTCTAAGACCCGTTGAGAATGGAAGTGGCAAGTTTGATCCCTTGATTTTGGGGCACTTGGCAGGTATTGCGATGTTTTGAAAAATAGGTGGGTTTCTATGTAATGCTCTTTTTTGTAAAATACTTATAAAACGATGAACAACATTTGACAAATTATTAAATTATGCTCTTGAGATGTGCGATTTGCAATCATTACACATGTATATTATCTATAATTTATTAACTAGTTAGTGTACGAAAATAGAATAAAAATGTAAACATATAGTATATAAACTTGTGAACAGTGGTAAAGTTTATAAAAGGCAAACGTTAAACGTAAAGGAACTCATTTATATTTTAACACAGCAACGAATAGAAATACCTCTTATCTTTCTAAGGTTAGGGTAAATGGAGTTAAAACCCTTTCAAAATGACCAATCGATAATTTTTGTTTTTGTATTTTGATAGGCAATAGCCACGTACTATAAAAGCGTAGGTGCTAGGTGCTTGATATTCAACCAGTAACCAACTAGAAATATTAACATTTCTCATAGTAACTAACTCCTTCCTCCTTTTTGATTTGACCTGACGTAGTTACAAGCGGTTAAAACATTTTTGAGCAGTGAGCCCTAAATTTTGATTTGTGGGTTTAAAAAATGTATATAGACATATTTTTCTAAAGTGATACACGTTTATTACTGGTGTCAGTTATTTATTAAATGAATGAGTTCCTTTGCTTTTGGAAATGAATGGTGCCTTGGCTGTTATGTTTAATCAGAAAACACAGACATTTTGGTTATGATGTGACAAAATCCAGTTGTTGTAACTATCTCTGTATATTATCCAAATAAAATTTACAGAATTATTAAAGCCTTTTTCTCCCACGCTTAGTGGGATGTGAAACTATACTTTGAGACCTAAGTATTTCATTACTAAAGTGGTGAGAAGAAAATTTTGGAGAATATTTTTAAATTTCATTTTCATATTTAAACATGACTGAAATTTAACCTTTCATTCTTCAAGTTGCTTTTAAATCATGTGCATATTCACGCGGTTCTTGCAATTGAACAAGATCGATTATTCAGAATAAATGTTGCAAGAAAAACCAGTCTCTTAGTCTAAGATAAAATATACGTATATAAAATAAAAATAGAAAAACTCTAAACTTTAAGATAAGTGTCTCTGCACTGTCTGTATTTTGTGTATATGTTGCTTTTTCATTCCTTATTCCGGGGCGTTTGCTTTGAAACAGTATAACTGCAATAGAGATATCTTAATTAAAAAATCAAAACGTTTAAAAAGGAACATTGTTATAGGTGATTCCAGTTGACGACAGCTAGTACCGCTGTGGTCTTCTACAGAGTATTGCTGTGAAATCAATCTACAAACTCAAAAAAAAAACAATAAATCATAACAGCGGTTCACCAGGATGTCAAATTTGAAATTGGGTTCCAGCGAGTATATTACAATTTCTTATCTAGTATCCCAAAACATGTTCAAGTGTTTAAACTTTCAAAAGCAGGTACAGCTGAGTATTGCCACACATTTTTTAAACTTGACTTACTGTCTTGTCGAATTTAATAATGCGTGCAGTGCTTCTGCTCAACTGATTATCAATTAACATCCACAGGGCCAAAATCTAGATCTTTTTTATAATTATTTTTTTCCATTATAGAAAGGTTTCACAGGTTATAGTGTTAAAATATACCAGGTGTCTAGAAAGTATGGAAGCAGTAGAGAATTACAAAATGATGACGTCTATGCTTAATTCTATATATTACAGTGAGGAGAAGAAAAAAAAAAAGTTAAAACCAAGCTGTGATTACACTAAAGACGGATCATTATATTGACCTGACAAATACTATGAATCCTGTTTGCGATTACAGCGCCATCTACCATGAATAGAAATTTTTTAGAGATTGGCGAACTTTCATTGTATTTACACAGCGTTTTGGGCAATGTTGTATCACTACCCATTATCAAGTGCAGACTTATTTTATTTCTAAGGTTTCGAGGCTTATATACTAAGCTGGAGCGTTCAACCGTGATGGAGTCGGGTGTAGTTAAGCATGAGGTGTTATTCAGCTAGGACGCGAACATTGGCTTTATTAAGGGTTGCCATACCCTTGTATTGTTATAAATGTTTCCATTGCTTTTAGCGAATACAGTTTGCTAAAACTTGTGCTTTTTCCAATGCGGTTCCCTATGGACAACCCGAGTTTCGGACCATTTTAAGCTCTGTTGATTGGTCCATACATGTTCTGCGATTCCTGACCTTTTCCACTCTCTTTGAAGGTTTCCTATGTTCTTCAATTCTAACGTTTAAAGGTCTTTTTGTTTCTCTTCAGTCACTATTCTTCGCTTTGTTCTTGTAAGTAATATTAATAATAACATCGTATTGTTTTTCTATTCGACTGATCTTTTCTAAGATTTCCTCCTCGTATGGAATCGTCAAGACAGGGGTTCCGCTGTTGGTTTCTGTTTACAAATTGATAGTGTTTTTCAATACATTTTTGCAATCCTTTTTAATAATGCTGCGAGTTAGACTAGCAATTTAAATACTCTCCGTATGTGTAAATTATCTATAAACTGAGATGCTGATAGATCCATTATTTCTACTTACATCTAGAACAGATCGGCAGCTATTCTTCTTTTTGTCAACGGTGAATTTAATGGACGATCACAGAGAATTAGAATGATTGAGAAACGAATCAAGCTATCTATCGGTTCCATTCCAGATGATGAAGGTATCGTTAACATATCGAAGCCTAGATTTAACAATTGCCGCATCTATAGCGTAAGTTCCATGTACAAATTTCCTACTACTGATCCATTGTCATGAGCACCTTCAAGCAAGCATTAATCGCGAATGCTGCTTGAAATCCGAATTTGTATTTGAAATGGTGGTTTCCACTTAAGATATCAAAGTTGTCCGCTATACAAAATGTTAGCATTCAAAATCGTATACGGCTCTTTATATTATTGTTATAAAAATTGCAAGAAATAAGGACTCTAAATGATATACCCCGGACATAGTTTCAAAAACTTCGGTATAGATCCCATCCCCCTGAGACAAACCACCCAAAGAATCACGAAGAAAACTTAAATATTGTATTAAATTCCAATCTTAAAATTATTTAGTTTGCTTATGAGCCTATAATTCTCGGCTAAATTCTTTTTGCCCTTTTTAAAAATTGATGTTATTGCTGTATTTTTCCACAACACTGGAAACACTCTCGTTGGTAAGACTTGGTTTTAACTTTTTTTTTCTTTTTCTCACTGTAATATATAGAATTAAGCATAGACGTCATCATTTTGTAATTCTAATAAACAATGGAAGCTACAGTAATCCAGTACATTAAAAAAAAATGTATTGGAACAATGTTATCCGGTACGATTTTTATACGTAATTTTTTTGCTTTTTGATGATTTGTGTAAGTCTTGAGGTAGTTCACCGTTTCCATACTTTTTAGACGCCTGGTGTGTTCTATATTTGTTTATGCAAATGAATCCTTATTATTATACTAATACCAAAGCAATAACATCCTTAATGAATATAGCAAATTCTGTAAAATTACTACATGAAACTGTCATCATCCTAACGGTCATTGCTATCCGCCTATCAACTAAATTAAGCAGCATGTACGACCGACACGCAGTAAAATAAGACCTCGACGCTTCAATCCGGGGTCATCGTCAAAGTCGATTTGAGTATTCGCCATTTTGGAACCCGTTTGCGGAAATGATTTCAATAAAAACGTCGCCATATACGCAAAACTCTTCGTTTCTTATCACTTCTAGGCGAGTAATTAGTCTCGCAGAGATGCTTGCAAATAAGTTCCGGTTCGTTCATTTGGCAGTACTGTTTATTGGCAGAGCTGGTAGCTGGAATATCATTCCAAATGACAAATTGGTAAGTTTAAAGTAACATGATAACATGTTAGAATTTTCAGAATAGGTCTTAGAGCGTATTAGGGAAACGGAGGGCTAAGAGAAAATGCTGGAAATTATTTTTGAGTTTCTGAATATCCAGGGGGGCTCGTTATCTTTAATTTTAAAACCCGTTTTCTACAAAAAATTCTAATATTATTTATTTTATATAGTTAACGCGAATCCGATCGAAAAAAATCCTGATTCTCGAAATTCAGGGAAATAACCTAGATATATAGATTATTGAAAAATATACAGGATATCTCAGTTATGAAATTCAATTTTTCGGAATAAATCGTGGGAAAGGCTTCAGTTTGATTTTAACGTCTTTTTAGGCCGCATCGAAAGCTACAATTCCATCCCGTTTTCGCCTCTCATACGGGTGCGCGATATTTGGGCTAGAAAGCGATTGGCTAGATTTTACGCTATTATACTGGGTGTTCCCAAAATATTGATTTTTTTGTGATAGTGCGGCAGGATGTTTAAATGATACCGGGTGAATCAAAAATTCTTCCAAGGAGTGCATGAAAGGTTCGTTAGGCTCCTGTCTAGCTTGACAGAAAAACATGACAATCAAACAATGAAAAATTTATTACCAATAGGAAGAATTATAATGCAGATTTACAATGCAACCGAGAAAACTTATTATTATTATTTGGTGAACTCAAATTCTTTAATGCTGTTTGCTCTATCTCTGCAAGGATAGTAGTGGAGGGTGTTCGAACATTCTCTTAAATAAATTTTGATAGCTCGAAAATCACTTAACGCATTTTAATAAATTGGGAGTGTTAGAAACGGGTTATTATGTAGTCAAATGAGACTAACCATTTTTATTAACTATTTACGTATTAAAGTAGTAAATTGAGGAAAACCATTTAAAAATCTATTAGCATATTTTGTTTGGAAGAAATAATTCATTTCATAGTTAAAATGCGAAACGATATTTAAAATGAACATAAAATGTTATTATTTATGGTTAATATTCTTTTCCAAATCGTTCCAAATGACCCTTAGCCGCTTATTTTGATTTAATTACTCGACCACCAATTGTTGGAGGCTAAATAGTTTTATTAACTATTGACTTATTTAATATAAATATTGATTAAAATATTTTTTAACAGAAATAATTTATTTATATATATCAAGATTGTTAGGAAAATTAAATTCTGTTTCTACCTAATCAAAACCTACGCATCTTTCATGCCGATATTGAATGCTTGCCAACGTGACTTTCATGCCGATATTGAATTCTTGCCAACGTGTCTTGATTGCCTACCATTTATTGCATTTAAATTGCCTCCTATAAAATGATCATAATCCAGTGTCTAGAAGAAATCCACTCATTAGACACGAAGAAACATCCTGATTTTTTTTAATACACATTTTATTACTTAAATTATTAAACAAATAATAAAATTGAAAGAATAAGTGATAATACGAAATATTTGAAAACGACCAAGCATGCCAAAATGTTGAACTACGGGGTTAGTTCTTCTGCCCTTTGGAGGTATTTTTTTGCGTTAAGTATTATATCCATATTTTTATTCGGAATAATGATATTGAGACGCAGTTTTCACTGTGTTGTTGAGCTCTTATTTGAATATCTAAAGATATATAAATTCATATCGTTGTATTTATTCTTTTTTCAGAATATTATTTTGTTGCGATTGTGTCAGAAAACTTCACCTGCTGAAAATATCCCTAAGATGTGATGCAATACGAGTTTGTTTCTTCGGTGTTATAGGTTAGGAAAAATATATCGAAATGCGGTTTCCACTGGTTTGTTAAACCCTCATTTGACAATCTTTTGTTGCAATGAAAGTGCTTTCAATTTACTGAGAGGAACATATTCATTTGTAGTGATGTTGCGTCGGCACTAATAGCCCAAGAAGAGCCATTTTCCTCAGCTTGAAGTTTGACAGATTGCGTTTAGTTATTCTGAAGTTATTAACTTTATTTAACTTATTTATTTCCGAAAATGCTCGAACACCACTTTCTCTTAGGAGAGAGCACAGTTAAATAAATATTTAACTATAAACAATCCAATTTATGTTAGCTTTACCACTATGTGGCGGCCACTCTAGAAATTTAAAAATAATCAGCATTTTTTAATACCTGCTTTAGTTATATTTTTTCAGTATTCATGAAAATTAATTTTCGAGATATATCCGAGTGGCCTTCTTAATTGACCACCCGGTACATAATGCATAATTTTTATTTTGTTAAAAAAATTCCAACAGTGGGCAAAAATTAATTAATGCTAAACAATAAAAGTCGCTTGAATATGCGTTGCATTGCATGCAGTTCCTTTGCATACCTAATAAGGTTTTATTACTCTACATCACTTCAAAGTGGACGTTAAAATTCATAACAAAAAGCTGGAACACTTTATATTGGTGCTAATTACTTATAAATAATGCAATGTATGTCAATGTCGATAAAAAACATATAGGTATTGGTTTCTTTCTTCTCAAATTTAATTAGGCACCATCAATCTTTTTTTTTAATAATCAATAACAATGGTACCTGTATTTTCGAACAGTTCGAGGAGAATACCAAACTGAAAATTGCGTTCGCAAGAAGGACAAATTAACATAGTGTGTTCCGTGTGCACGAGAAACGACATTGAAAATAAAAATACGCTCGAAGTCTAATTTGTTAATAAATAATCATTAATCAGTCCCAACATTACGATCTATAGTATAGTGACTTGAGGGAATTGTCCTGTCCATCTGGTACCTGAAATTCATCATGAAAAATTATAAAGGCGAGAATTCCAGTAGATCAAAACTTATTTAGGATGTACAGGGTATAACAAAACTAGAGAACCTGTAAAAAATATGAGTTTTATTAACAACATCTTTTGAAGAACGCTTCACTACAAGTGAAGCTTGATATCGGGACAGTCCAAGGCACCCTACAGAATGATTCTGCTCTCAGGTATACTAGTTTCAGAGGGATCCCTTTCGCAAGTCCTCCCCTGGCAGAACTCAGATTTAGGGTGAGTTTAAGAAACGATTCTCTTATCGCTAGGGTAAATAGAATATTATAAAAAAATATTGGTTTGGTTATTAAATATGAGTCAAAAAAAACATAGTTATGAAAATACGGCTCTGTAAAAGGCGCTCCAGACAAATTGAATTTTCTTAATATTTATGAAACTGCTTAAGATCTTAATATAATGTACAAGAGCGTAGTTAAAGGGTGTCACGTTTTTTGTTCCCAAACTGAAAAAGTCTTGTTCTTTAAAATAAAGAAAAATTGACTTAATTGAATTAAGCTGGAGTAGACTGCAGATTGGGTGCAGATTTTGTTGGCGAGATTAGTTTGACACATTGTTGACAATTTTGTTTTGTTCTAGACGTAATAGTCCTATTAAATATTTCAACATTGATGTACACTAATACTAATAAAACATCGAAAAGAAGATTCTTAGTGTAAGAAATGTGGCAATGGCAATTAACGCAAGCGTTCTTGGTGTTCAGGATGGCCTGTTTATTAGAAAATAATATCTTATTAATATAAAAAAAACTGAAAGACACAAGTTGTTTACATTCATTTATACTTTTTAAATATTATGGTAGATACAGGATGTTGATATTTTCGTGGACAAGTTAGAACTTTTTTATTTTAAATTCAATATCCTGTATGGTAAATAATTTTTAAATTATTTCTAGAAAGAAAATCGAGCACTACAAGAACATTACTACTTTGAGTTGCTGTGGGTTGGAAACCAATGTTAAACAATTTTATGCTACCTAACTTAATTAAATGACGTCAAGTTAATGAAGTATTTAAAAAAAAATTAAATATCGGAGAAAATACAAATATTAAATTAAACAAAATACAAGTTTCCAACATTGGAAAAAGAGAATTTATTTTTTATAAAAAAATGTTATTTTGTAATATATATATATATATATATATATATATATATATATATATATATATATATATATATATATATATATATATATATATATATATATATATATATATATATATATATATATATATATATATATATATATATATATATATATATATATATATATATATATATATATATATATATATATATATATATATATATATATATATATATATATATATATTAATATTTAATTAAGAGTATTAACATTTTTTAAATGGTTCCATTATTCGATTAAAAGAATGTTCCTTGTTCCATTTTAAGAAAAAAATTGTTATTAATGATGTAATTATCAGGCATGATTTACGAGATTTATAAAAAGCGTTCAAACAACAATAAATAGTACTTCCATTTCTTTAGAGCTCGATTGATTGAAAAATGAAATTCAAACACCCCGAATATAGGGACAGCAATACAATTTAATAAGTATGTATGAATGAATCTAAACAACTTTGGTCAATAAGTTTTTTTTATATTTTTTACGGATACTGAGATCATTCCCTAATAAACAGTCTATTCTCTTCATCCTGCATTCACTGCTGTAAACAATCTTTTTTTTTTGGGAAGTGATTGTGGGAATTATTACAAGCAAGAATGAATCAGAACTCTAATTTTTTACAATATGTTCTTTTTATCTATGAATCAAGTTTTACTACAAAAGGTATGACATGGGGAGGTAGAGAGGGAGACACTTTACAATAATTTGGGTGTCTTTATAAACGGACAATATCTGAACCATCTGCGATACGCAGATGACATTGTATTAGTAACAACCAAAAGAGTTGAATTACAAAAAATGATTATAGAGGAGGATATTAAATCGTCAAAAATAGAATTAAAGCTCGATTACAATAAAAAAAACGCGACCAACCAAAAATAGGAACCAATAATTACGGTAACAGAAACATACATAGAATAAGCACAAAAATAAATAGAAAATAAGATATTTTTACAAAAGCGCTATATAAAGATTTTTTTAAATTCCGAAACATGTTATACTACTCAGATGAAGAACAACTTCTGTGATTACGTTGTTTTGTGCATGAACAATGATGAATATCATAATGAGGAAATAGTATTTCTCTTCCGATCCACACCACAAAAATCATAAGTTGAATTAAATGTACTGTTTTATCATACAATTAATTGAAAATAATATTACTTTTATTATATCCGAAATAGCTCAAAACCATTTTTTTTTTACTTTAAGGAATAGTGTTATTTTTAGGCAAAATTCTACATTGAAAATTTTGTTTGCAGTAAGTAAAAATTTGTGGTCTGAATTTAATTTAGGTTAAAAAAGAAATAAGAACTAAAAGCTCAGATTTTCACGAAATTACATATTATGACATGACAATTGTTTTGACAACACCGTGTCTTTATCAATTGTCATGTCATAATATATAATTTCGTGAAAATCTGAGCTTTTAGTTCTTATTTATTTTGATAAATGGATTTTCATCAAGTAAAAGCCACCTCAGTTTAATTTAGGTTACATAAACAGTTCTAGAAATAATAAAAGAAATAGTTATGCAGAGTTTTATTGAGTTTGGTTCGGGTCAGCCGCCTATCTAGAACAAAAAGATAATCCTACTTACACATCTTCTGGTTGATGATCATGTTGGATTTTTTTGAACTTGAGATCTGAAGAGGCCAACAAGATGATTTTGAAGTTTCTCTGAAAAATTAAAAATATTATGGAAAATTTCTTATTAACGACAGATAAGATTGTTTAAAGAAATTGCTTGTTATAAGTAAAAATAATCAATTAAACTGCTTTTCATCTGTTACTTTTGAAATATAGTATAACTACTAAATTAGTAATAAATTAATAATTTTCAGTAACAGTAACTGTAACTTGCGCGACAAAGAAAGGAATACCCATTACTACTCTCCCCCCATCAATTCAATAATTAATTATAATAATTTATTATATTATAATAATTATATCCGTTAATACCATAGTCGCATTCGACGCGAGATACACGGATTAAATGAGCTTTGGTCTTCAAATACTTTAATAATTGTAATAATAATTTGCCTAGTTGTCGTATTGTATTTAAATTCTGTTTGACACAGGATCCCGTACCTCATAAAAGATGGAACGGAGTTTTGGACGCAACCAAATTTACGAATGGATGTGTGGAACTCATCCACAAGGATCGGCTCAGTTACGAAGTAGTCGGAAGTGAAGATTGCCTTTACTTAAACGTCTTCACTCCGACGGTGAGTAGGTGGCCTCGAAAGACGAGCATATTAATTCACCCAATTATAATACAATGCGTGACATAGAAATTGTAATACGCAGTAAAATTAATAATAAATTTCCCAGGATAATCTTATCACATTATGTTAACGTTGTAGCCTTTGATTCATTAATAATGGGTATGAGTCTAATAATTAAATAAAATAAAAAACAGAAACATATATGATGTAATAAGAGATTTTAATGTATTACAATCTCTCTGGAACTGAGTTTATTAAATTCGTTACAATATTTGGATTGAGCTCTTCCCAACACTCTATAAACCAAATGAAATATTTATTGTCAGAATAGATAAAATGGCGATACTTTTTAACACCTAAGTCAAGCTTGCGTTGCGTCCCAAAATCTATAAATATTTTGTCAGAATATTCTCTATGTTATGATCATTTCCCAGGGAATTGCAATAAGCGTAAATTAATAAAGGAAATTAATGATACAAAAAATTATATGTATATAATTTGTATTTAATACAAATAAATATACATCACAAAATAGAAAAAGAAAGAATACTTACAAAAAACACAATTACAGTAATATCAATTCATAATTAAGTTGAATTCCGTAACTTATTAAACATTAAAAGGAAGCACAAAACATAAATCAGAGCTCAACATTTTATAATGAAAAATTAGGAGGTTTTTTGATTTACGTTTAAAGTTAAAAAATGAAAATTAAAAATTTCACTATATGAAAATTTTGTTTTGACTAATAGTTTAATTATTTTTATCATAAACACATATCGTTTCTTCAAGTTGAATAAATCTGACTCATTTTTTCTGTTTACAGCCTCATGCATATACTGACCTTTTCATAAGTTAAATTATTTAAATTTATTTTTTTTTTAATTTTTAAATTTAATTTAATTTAAATTATTTAAATTTGAATAAATTCGAGTAATTAATTTAATTATCATTGTTGATATATAAGTTTGAAATATTTGTAATTTTTTTAAACATCTGGTGTAAGCAGATCCCAAACTCATACATCACAATTTAGCAAGGACTTTACCAGAATTGTATGAACTTTTAAATTAGTAAAATTTGTAGGTACACTATTACGAATTTTTAATTTAAATGTCATTCATAATATATAACTTTGACATATTTGTAACTTTTTTAAACAACTGTTGTAAGCAGATCCCAAACTCTTGCATCATAATTTAACAAGGGCTTTACCAGATTGTATGAACTTTTAAATTAGTTCAATTTGTAGGGACACTATTACAAATTTGTAATTTAAATATAATTGTAATTTCTTTAAACAACTGTTGTAAGCAGATCCCAAACTCTTACATCATAATTTAACAAGGGCTTTACCAGAATTGTATGAACTTTTAAATTAGTTAAATTTGTAGGTACACTATTACGAATTTTTAATTTAAATATCATTCTTAATACATAAGCTTGAGATATTTGTATTTTTTTAAACAACTGTTGTAACCAGACTTCTACATCATAATTTAACAAGGACATTACTAGAATTGTTTGAATTTTCTATAAGGTATAATTCATTCAGAATCGTTTCGTCTAAAATTTATTTTGCAAATAAACACGAAATATTGTCTACTCTATCAATCTCTTAGGATCTTAGAGCGCTATTAAAAATTGGTGGGCTTGTATAATTATAGTATGTATGCGACCGACTAAAATTACTTGCTACTTGACTGCCTAAAACTATTGACAAGCCTGTCGGAAATTCTATCGATGTTGTTTGGGTATCCGCTCCTGTGGGTATTGAGAGCAAGGATATGGCTGGGTTCAGGAGTAGGTTCTCTTTGTATTAGGAGGCTTTACAGAGACTGAGACAGTAGAGGTTTCTAATGGTAAGATTCTCTGCGACTCAGAACTAGAAGTGAACTCTTAGTCTCAATCGCGTTACTACGAATGCTAGTAGGAAACCTTACAGAAATTCTTCCTCAGTCCTTATTCAAGCAAGACATCTATTGTCGTTATTGTTTTATGGCAATACAAACCGAAGTTGAATTGTTTTCACTGTTATAGTATTCCAGTTAAATCATTGACTTCTTCTTGTCCCAACTATGTATAACAGGAAAGCTTCTAAGAAATTGCTGTCAATGAAACAGCTATGTTTTTTTTTTTGTAATAAAAATATTGAAAACTGATTCTTTTTAACATTATAAGTATAGCTGAGCGCATACTGGGTGTTGCAATTTCTATGGAGCACGGTATATTTAAGAGCGGTAATTTTAGAATCCCCACAAAATAAACAAACTTCTACCGGTAATGGTATGGATTTACGGAGGAGCTTTTCGGGAAGGAAACTCAAACACGTACGGACCTGAATATATTTTAAATGGCGATGTGATCGTCGTGACATTTAACTACAGGCTGGGCATTTTTGGTTAGTATAATTTTGAAATTTGCACTCATTTATTGAACACAGAATCATTGTAACGTTGTTTATTGGAAATATCTGTTTCTTGTTGTACAACCAGGAACGATACATTTTTTATAACTTCCTCAATAAGGTTCCATTATAGTTCAAGCGTAAAGCTAACAATAATCTACAAATATCAAAACAAAAATAAAAAATTAGAACAGCCGTCGCGGTAGATGTCCGAGCAAGATCTAACGTGCTTATCCGATTGCTAAAAAATCTATTTACATGGACATATATTTTGGTTTCTGACCCCTAACAACTATATGCTGAAACAAGCAGTAAAAGCGTAAAAGCATAAAAGGCGATATAATTTTTTCGCAGGCCCAATTTTCATTTCATTTTCATTTTCATTCTTGTCAAATAAATCCTTGGATATTGATTAGGATTTTTTAATTTTGTTGTAATAATTTTGTGTCTAAATTCCCCCATACCGTGCCAGTTTAGTGAATGTGGTGTCCAATTTGTGAACTTTAGGGTTATTTCGCTACCGATATTTAATTTTTTTAAATTTTTGATAGAAAACAAGGTTTATAAAAACTTACAAAGCTACTAAATAAAATAAATACTTTATTCTGCCAACAAAACAATATCTTAACAACATTTCTAAACCAGAGAGATAAAGGAATAAATAACATAATATAAATAATCTGTTTTCGACAAATAATAATATCAACTTAAACAAAAAAGAAACAAAAAGAAACGAATTTTAGTTTTCAAATTCACAGACAGGTAGAAATATCTAGAATTCTTGCATCTCGTGTCACAGATGCCAAAAACCCACATCAATCACGTGACAGCGTAACCGGTCTGAAACTCGGTATGCATTTTAGTCACATTCGCACAAGGAGCATCTGTTGTCATTGTCTTCTTTACAAGGCCCTGGCATTAGCTGCCCAGGACATTTCGCCAGTTTCTTGCCACTGTGTAAGTGCCCATTGCTGAAGAATCCTCTTCAATTTTTGAGAAAATCTAGAAGTCCCTTTTGATGGACATGACCCACCTTGTTTTGGGACTTTGGAAGCTTAAACAAAACCGGATTAGTTTTCCGGGTTATATAATATTATAAGCCTGACTGTGAATTTGCTGCAGCATTGACTAACACTTCGTTAGACAGTTTTTGCACTTTGGAACCTTTCTTGTGAGAATCTTTTCTTTGCGCACCTAAAACCGATCTCCATTTGCTTTTGATTGCTCCAAAGAATGATACATCTAAAGGTTGCATTGGTTGAGTTGAATGGATATTATGTAGGTGTTGCTTTCTCTTGCATCTTGGATAACAGTGGGAGGAAATTACGAAGAAACATTTTCTCCCACTTAGACTGTGGCCATAAATGGTACCGGGTGGTCCTCTTGTCATCCAGTCTGCATTTAAACATTTCGATATGCATACTACTATCAGGAGCAAGAGTGGTTCTGCCCTGCCAAAGATCATCAAACTAATTAAAGTTCTTGAGTAGTTTAATTCTCCCGACTCATCTTTTTCTTCGTGCCGCTAACACTTCTTTCATTCTGGATTGTCGATAATATCCGCTATAAACATTTTCTGCTGAAGCATTAAAAAGGCGAGATTTAATGTCGTCGAAAAACTGGAAGTAGCTTGTTTAGTTAACAATGTTTTCTAGCAGCATTTTAATCCTGACCCGTCTGGTTGTTGACCATTCTTAAATGACTCGCACTCGCTTGTTCACAAAGCTCACGCCATGTTTAACAACAATTTAGTTCGCAAACTTTATACGCTTGCAGGAAAGAAACGTATCATCAGTTGATGTCAAAAGTCAAACAATCCTTGCATAACCGGTCGTTATTGAAATAGCCCCAAAACATGTTGAAGTAGTCCTATTTTACGGTACTTTGAGAATAAAGTCCTAGTTTATCGAAATTATTTTATTTACATTTTTTTATACGGCTTATACATTTTATTTTGATTACTATTTAAGTTATTGTTTGATAATCAAAAAGTGTTGATAACTAAGTATTGGAAAAACATTCTTGAGTTTTATCAGCTTAACGCTAAGGACGCTTTGAAATGAAACATAAAGTTAAGTAATGTGTTGTCAACCAGAATTGTCACGCTTTATTTGAGTATTAATAATAATTAAATTAATAAATAATGCTGTGTATAACCTGCTGACTTAAAAGAGCGAGAAATTATTATACGCCAATTAGAATTAGAATTAGAATTAGGTAAGTGCTCAAGATCCAACAGCTGATTCTCAAAGGTGTGAGGCATTTGATAAGAATTTGAATATCGGGAAGAAAAGAGCAGCCGTAGTTTTTATAAGGTATATATGTAGTACTTCCTTGGGGAATACATTTTTTATTTTAAAAGAAAAACCATTCTTGACGGAAACTCAAAGAAATTAGAACTTTCGTGGACTAAACTTAACTAAAACAACGTTACCTATAGAGACGAAAGCAGAAGTGTGTGTGAGAGATTATCGATTGTCTCAACAGCAATGTTTTACACTTTATTGGTGGCGTAAACGGAGCCCAATATTCTTATACCTTCGTTTTTACCTACTGCTACAAAGTTATACCCATGCAGACATTTAATTTCTCACCATAGTTATTATCCTCATGCCATACGTCTAAATCTATCATGAAATCAGCAGCAATCGAATCACTTTGGTACAAAATGCTAATCAAACAATCCAAAACTAACTAAAACAACACCTGAAAGGTCGCCAGTCTACCTTACCACAATACAGGATGGTTTCACCAGTAACTTATGCGAAGGTATAGTTAGTACATTACCACATACTCCAATATTATATAAGCAATTAATAAGTAAAAGTAATTCTATGTATTTTATTATTGTTTGTTCCAACAAATATTTGTTAGAGCTTGTATACTGTTTCGATACCTTGTGTGCATCTCCTCTAGGTTTTTTGAGCACCGATGATATGGAATCCCCAGGCAACTATGGCCTAAAGGACCAACTCGTCGCGTTAAAATGGGTGAAGGACAACATAAACAAATTTGGCGGTGATCCTAGTCGCATTACAGTTTTTGGCGAAAGCGCCGGAGCAGCTTCAATCGGTTATTTGTTGTTATCTGAAAAGAGTAGCGGACTATTTCAGCAGGCGATTATGCAGAGCGGTAGTCCATTATGCCCGTGGGCTCTTCAAACACTACCGAAAAAGGTAAATTTTCGTTTTCTATTTTGCTAATAGTTGATTAGTAGTCCGATCTAGATAGATGCGGCGTTAGAGATACCGACGGACGCAGGAATTATCGAGTAAATTGCCCAAAAGAAAATGCTGGAAATCATTTTCGAATTTCTAAAATGACCGCCAGCGAAAGTAATTTTCCAGTTTCTGCAAAATTGTCTAATATCAAACAAAACTTTTTTGTTTAAGGAACATTTTCGACACTAAGTGTCGAGTACTCCAAAAAGGCGTAAAAGATTTTAGGTGTCGCTAAGAGGCTGTCAATCATTGTATGAGTAACGCGATTGCGGTTGCTGACCCTGCCACTAGGTGGAGTTTTCTGACATAATCGTAAAAAAAATAATTATCTGAAAACAAAACTTGTTAATATGCCTTTTTTATATCGATAGCCAAATAAGAGCCAAATAACTAAAGTTGTGGAATTGACCGGTCAACTTTTTTTCTGTTAATTGTATATCAAATTGACCAAAATAATTTTAAAAATACGATGAAATTTGTATTTATTTATTTATATTTATTTATAACTTGCGTTACGTTCTGGGAACCAAATGAAGTCAGGAATCCCCGAATTTCTAAGTATTGTATTCGGATATTCCTCAAAGAGGGTAAATTGGTAAATTGGTAAATTGGACATCACAAACGCATATTAATTTATTATAAAATACATATTATTATTAAATAATGATAGATAACACTCTACAATTGCAAGATGTTATTTAAAAGATTTTTTTGACTAGTCAATTAAGAAATGGTAATTGACAACACTACCAATAACCCACTGAAAATCTCATTCTAACAGTTTTAACTCAAAATATGACCAAAAGAACTTGAAACTAAATAAAAGTTAAATTTTGGGAAGTATTTACGAGTTGTTATTAATGGCCTATTATCCCGCAGTTATCAAATAAAACGTAATTGATTATCTGAAATTGAAATAAAATTTCCTTATTTTGTTACTTTTTGTTATCTATATTACTTCTTTACCATAATTCGACGAGTACATCCAGTAGTTGACATTACTACGTTTTAATCTAATTGCCCGTTTTGAACTAATTTATTATCATCACTTATTTTTTCAATAAAAATTTAGTTTTAGTCAATTTACCAACCAAAATTACTAAATTTTTCATTTTTATTGATTATTGAATTATTTAAGTAGTAAAATGTATATTGAAATAATCGATATTTTTCTTCATTCCCATCGTGTCCATTCCTTCTAGGCAGTGGAGTACGATAAACTCATTATTGCAATAAAAAATGAGACCTCCTAATAATTATAAATAAATTATTTTTGTCAGAGGGAATATTTTACTGATGGTTTTCACTATTTTACTATTTTAATAGGATAACAGATAATAAAATTAGTTAGTATTCCACAACTACTGACCGAGTTAGTGGTTGAAACTAATTTTTTAATGAAAAATAATTGGTAATACTATATATTTCAACTGTCAAATAGTTGAACTGTCAAAGCGTAGCGATAATGTCAGTTACGGGGTAATTTAGTGTGCTTCGAAGGTATGTAAAAAATGTAATAAATATAAATAACATTATTTTATTTCAATTTCAAATACCATTTAGTAGCCTAAATAATAAACTATCATCGAAAATGCCTCACAAAATCCATATTTTTTTTGTTTTAATTTCTTTTTTCATATTTTAAGCGAAGATAAAGATATCGAGATGAGATTTTCACTGGGTTGTTGGGCTCTTATATGACTATATATCTAATGATACACAAAGGTCAAAACGATTTTGTTTTTTCACCGCCTTGTGGCAATGTAAAATATCGAGTATGAATTGAATGAGTATGTTAGCAATTGGACTGTTCTTCACTATGACCACAAGGATTTATAGTAACTTCTCAGCTATAACTTTACCTAGGTTCGTCTCTCTCATTGGACTTCACAGCATTAAGAGTGTCCCCTTAGGGTAGTAGCCCGCTTTCTAGGGTTTGGTTGCGCCCAGCACAAAGAAACGCACACTCGATAGCCATTCACATTTGCATAGCACTTGCACACGATCTCCATTCAATTGTTTCTCTTTTTAAGCTTAGATGCATCTTAAGCTGCCAGTAGTCAGTAGATCGACTATGAATTAAAAAAAAATCTCCTCTAATTCTTTAACTTTTTCGACTTTTATTTCTCTTCTACTGCGTTCTAGTGCCTTGAAACACTCTTGTTGGAATTTAAGTCGTTAAAAAGCATTAATAGCCTGGGAAAAGTCATTTTTAACAACTATTAAGTTTATTAAAATTTGACAATTTAAACAATTTCGGAGAAAGCGGGCTTTAAAATATTATAATTGCAACTACGCCTCCTGGTGACCATTTCTTGGCCGATTTACTCTTTTTTTCAAATTTCTAGCACCGTCCGTTTTCCTAATACCGTACCATGTTGCCTATAATGGGACGCACGTTACATTTCATATTTCACTCTTTAATAGATCGCATTTGACTTTGGATTAATTCTGGGGATAACAACAAACAACAGCGCTACCCTTATGACTTACCTGCGTCAGGCGGACTTGTCCAAGTCGCATTCTGCGATAATAGAATTAAATTTGTTGGTAAGCGTCACTCCGCAAAAAAAATGTACCGTTATTAAATTTTTAATCTTTTTTAGTATATCGGAGATTCCCTTCGGCAAGGGAACACTTTCAGTCCGTCAGTGGAACCAAGTTACGCGAACGCAGTGGTTACTAAAAAGAGTTTCGAAGCTTTTAGGGAAGGAAATGTTAATAAAATTCCCTTGATCGTTGGAATCAACTCACAAGAAAGCAAGTTTTTCTCGTCAAGTAAGTTGAATGAAGTTACGGTCTTATCAAACGTTACAATTTTAATTGTCTGCTAATAGCTAAACTTTTCGTCGATAAGCAATAGTTTACTATACCTTCCTATTCTAAACACTATTTCTTTTATATCTTCGCTGGTCCTGCAGGTTCACAATTTTTTTAAGAAAGTACTTCCACAGGCTACTGTAATACTATTTACAAATCTTCTGGATTTCTGCTGCGTCGATTATTGATGAATTGAACTTTCTGACGCTAAAAGAGGGACATGAACCTTGTCTCGCGAGACTAATTACTCAATTGGAGAAAGATAAAGACCCGAGTCGTGGTTAAGATTAGTTGCTTATAGATTTCCCTAGATTTTCGGATTTTTCGTTGGTAGAAGATTTGATTATATGCAAACATTTTAGTTTTATCGAATAAAATTTGATGTCCGGTTTAGTGATTATGTTCTGCAACTGCTGATGATTTTATTTTTCTTAGTCGTACGGCTCCTTCATGTTCTTTGAGCGTAGTTGATAGTTTTTGTCCGCTCTGTCCAATGTATTCTTTCGCATCTCAAACGGAATTTTGTCTTTGGTGGATCGAAGATGTTGAAAAATTTTACATTTGGTTTTGACGTTATATTTCTTAACAATTTTTGATATGCCAACAGTGGGAAGTGTGGGATTACTTTCGGACTCCTCTTTAGAAAGTTGTTAGAAGTGTGTTTTATAATGGAGCGCTTAATATATCTAATGAGAAATTTATTAGAGAGAAGAGCAAAATTAAGAGATAGTTTTACCGTTTTGTAAATAAGAGAATTGGAAACCAATGATGTTGGGCTGGATATGTACGTAGGTTTTCTGTAAACAGGTCTGCTAGGTAAGATTGTATATTGGAAAGAATATCTAAGATTGGGAGGTTATTATTAGTTCCTTATTCAATAGTAAAACGTAATGTTAGGGTGTGTAGAGTTTAAATGGCTTAAAAAATTAACAAAAGTATCATCAATGTAGTGCTTCCATAATTTTGGTTATACATGGCAGGTGACGATTGCTTTTTTCTCAAAGCCTTCCGTAGATATATTAGCGATGACCGGTGATAATGGAGAACCCATAGCTGTCCCGACGTTTGTTCAAAAATTTGATCGTTATAAAAAAAAAACATGCTCCAGGCGAGCGTTTTTTAATTAAGAAGAGAAGGTTTGGTTCCAGATTCTCGGATTTTAATATATCTGAAATATTGTTGAGAATTTCAGGAATAGGGCCTTTAGTACATAGAGATTCTACGTCGAATATTTTGTGGATCTAATATAATAGCTTTTAGTTGTGCAATGAAATGAATGAAAAAGTACGAAATTATTAGTTTTCCCTGTAAAGGGTTTTAATGTAGAACTTAGATATTTTGCTAGAAAATATGTTCGTGTTGACAATCCTGGTTTGTGAAACTTAGAGAGGACTTAGAGGCGAGGAATTTTAGAGTCATGAGGGGTGACAGAATTTTTCACAGATTCTGATTACGTTCAATATATGACATATGATCTTTTTTAAGATGACAATAGAATTCGTCTCTAAGAATATCTTTAATTTTTTCCTGTTATTCATTTATGTTCATGACTGCTATAGCAGTCCCTCTATCTGCTTTTAGAATTAGTATGTCGGGATTAGATTTTGGAGATTTTAGAGCAATGAGTGCAGGCTTTAGAATATTAGACCTAGGAGGTTTAGATTGCTTAAGGATTTTTGCCGTTTCAAATAGAATTTGGTTAGCTGTTTGAGATGGAAATTTGTTTGGGATCGACTCGAAATTTCAAATAATTTCCTCTTTGGGGATAATTTGGGGCAAGGACAAAGTTGCAACCTTTTGCAAAAACTGATTTTTCCATCTCAGAAAGTTGCTGCGATGCTACATTTAGCACAGTCTTGGGTAGTTGAGAAGAGTTTGTTTCACTAGTTTTGACGTTAGTTTTTCAAAATTTTGATTTAGAGAGAGAAGAGCGTTATTGGGTCCATTTCACGAGGGATGACGTTGTGATCTCTACAACGTAACAAAAAAGTTGGTGTACATAGTAATGTTACCAGTTTCAATCGGTGATCTTGAAACTTTTTGCTTTTGCGCTTGCATGCTCCCCATAAAAGGTTATTAGTTTTTCAAAGTTGACAATCTTTCATTTTCTCCAAGATAAAATTCGTGAATGGTAGCCGAAAGACATGCTATTATATCGTGGAATACTGAAAATTTCTTTTAAACTTATATTAAAAAAAAAGCAGATGACACTTTCTCGTTGCTACTTTTTTCCCCTACAAGTTTGCATTATAAAGTTTTAGTTGTGATGTTTCGATTTTTTTTTAAAACAGAGATGTAAGGTTTACTTATCATTTCTAAAAAGCTCGTCATTCAGAGAAATTACATTTATCGCACTTAATAATTTACTAAAATTGACAATAAAGCCAAATTTACACAAAAATAAAAAGCTGCTATGAAACAAAAGCATAATTATGTCTTGACCTAGTTGTTAAATATTAGAGTTTTAATTAAATTTTACTTTTGTAACTATTATGTAAAATCATTTTTCTACTCCCGTCTGTAAAATAATTAATTACCCACCGATCTAGCGTGCAGGAAGCATCACTTTACCACGTCAGTTTCCTTTCCCATTAATCCGAGCCAATTCGGACATTTCCGGGATTTTACCGCACGGATTTGGGAGCAATCGGATGTTTTCGGAGATATTTCCCACGCTTTGAATTTTGACGTTTGTGAATTCTGACGGTCATGTCAGTGAATGTATTCGTGTTGTTTTGCGAAAATGTACCCAAAAACTAACGGTCGTAGAAAAAGTATAGTATGCAACACGTTCGCTAAACTTTTTAACTCACTCGTTTATTAAACACTCGCTCCGCTCGTGTCAAATAAACTGGCGAGTTAAATGCCGTTTACCGCATTTGTTGCATAATATACTATTAGGATACTATAATATTAGGATCAATTCATTTCTCGGCTTGCTACCGCATTCCAATAAATTTCAGTGCAAATTGGCAAACAAATTTTTATGCGGTTCCCCTCGCTAGGGAAATGGATTTAGACATCCTTTACTAACAACTCGGGAATTTCTGATTTAATTGTAATAAATAGTTAACATGTCACATTTTACCACATCTGAAAACATCTTTTTTACTACGAATTATATAATTACATACAATAGTAAAATGTAATGATGTTGTTCTATGGAAATCTATATCTATACCACCAAACAATTTTAACCGCGACTCAGGTTTTTACCTGTCACCAATATGGGAATCCTCCGAGACAATGTTCATGCCCCTCTCTTAGCTCCGCCCCCTCAAATAGCAGGTCAGCAACAATCGACGCAGGAGGAATCCAGAACCACCTTATTTTTTTGTGTAAATTTGGCTTTATTTTCAATTTTAGTGCGTTACTGTTCAGTAACTCTTTGCGTAGTGCATGTATTCTTGTAGAGTGACGAACTCTTTCAAAATATTAAACAAAAAATGCAGGTTTATATTAAAAAAAAAAAAAGTTAATAATGCCAACTTATCTGGAAGAAAAAGGTTAAATGAAAAAGTGTGATTTGTTTTCAAATTTTGTTTTAATTAAGGCTAAAAAGTTTACAGTTACGTTTGAAGACGGCATTGCGAATACAATATCATCACATCATCACATCAGAGCAAAATTTGTCTATTCCCACTACTGATGATGCTAAATAAACGTCACTAACCACCAACGAATGTCACTTGTTTAAAATCGGAACAGTGAATTTTTCTTTCAATCGCATATTTTCATTTGACCTGCTTCCTTTGTTTTGTTTGTTTATTGTAGTCTTTCCAATTCCACTCATTCTACAACATCTTTTAACACTTTCATGTATCATAAAACTAGGATTACCAAGCCTAAGGCAATCATGTATACATACAACCATGACAACACTGATAATAATTGATTTTTCGTCTTGTTGGTTTTGCAGTCCGTTCTTTAATTGATTGGTTTTTCCTAACATTTATCAGGTGCTCTTCTCATGTTTCTGCTTTCAGTGTTCAAGGTTCCTCCTTACTAACTTGTGAACCCACTGGTAAATAGCAATTGGGGGGGGGGGGTCTCGAGTGCTTAAGATGTACATGAAAAAAATGACATTTAAAAACTGGCCACTGTGCATCATTTTGAATTACCTTTTTCTTATAAAACACCCGGTGTTTTATAAGAAAATTTTTAGTTAGTAATTTAATTTATATGAAGGTCAAATTCTGGTCAGAGGCTTTACTTTTGGTTGGAAAATGTTTCAAAAATTGCAAAAACTTTGTATGGGTTGACTTTTATACTTTTCTCATATAAAATCGGAAAAGATGACTTTGAATAAAATGTGTTGTTGTTTTCTTTTCAGTTATTAGGATTGCCAAACCCGCATTTGTCCTCTTCGACTTAAGTTCGAATCTTTTGGTCAGGCCAGCAATGAACGTAAAGTCAAGCGCTAGTAAGAAGATTGTGGCGGATAAAATAAAACATCACTATTTTCATTCGGGCTCCTTTATTAGTGGCACTGATCAAGAATATCTCGAGGTAAATATAAGACTCCTACACTTGAAAACGAAAATTAAATTCTATACGTTACAAAGATTCCCACCATTTAGAATATGTTGGATATAAGGCGCATTTGTATCGACTTCAATAATGTCTTAACAGTCTAGGTCTAAATGCTTTTGCACGTGATTGTAGCTGTTACTTGCCCATATACTTGTTTAACACTAATTCAAGTTTCTTATTCACGAATTTTCAGTATAAACCACTGATTCGAAAAAATATTAAATCAAATTCCTGGCCATCATGCATCCCATTCATATTTTTTTCAATATTTTAGATTTCAATCGCTGGTAGAAACATCAGGCGCTAACTGGTTTGCCACATCGCAATTTTATTTATTTTTTTACTAGATTTTCCGGTAAACATAAAAAACTTTCATTTAAAAAGATTCGTAATTTAAAAAATCAATTCCTTCAGTTGATGTTATAACATAAGATTTTAGTGCGTTTTTGAGAGATCTATCCAACCAAAAAAAAATTATCAAAATCAAAGCGTAATCAAAAATTTTACAACGATGTACAACCTTAAGCGGGGCGCACACGGTATTTCAAACACCCTCTATTGAAACATTATAGAAATTGGTATTGTTGGTTAATAAGTAAGATTTTTATTTTAAACCCCCAAGAGTACTTCTTTCTTCTGCATCTCTCTGATAATCCCAGTTGGCCATGACTTTAAGTTGAAGCAAGCATGTTTCAGAGATCTATCTAATAAAAAAAAATCAAAATCAATCTATAAATAAAGATTTTACAGTTCTTAAGTGGGACACTCTGTATGTGAACGATGCTTCTAACAAGTGGACTGAACGTTTGCTGGAAGGTGGTAGACAATGATTTAGTAGCAATACTAAGAGATTGTAGAATTTCCATTGTCTTTATTTTTTGTTTACACAACGTTTCGGGTAGATGTTCCAGTGCAGGCAGACAAAAGTTTGACAATATATTAATATTGCAAGTGCAAATAAGATTGAAACATTGCAAAATACAGGCCTGCTGTTGATACATGTTTGAAAATATGATCTAATAAGATATCCGTTTTCATCGAGGAAATTTTAAATGTCCATATAATTTAATTACGTATACGAAACACTCTTCAGAAACAAATCATTTTCAATTCCAATTGTATTTTTTTATTCAAAATCTATGTTTGATATATTAGTGCTCAGAAAGAAAATGATTTACATACTTTTTAAAACACACCAGTATCTTTTTTCTTCTTCATGTTTCTTCTATGCAGATTATAAGTAAGGTAAAGTCACTTTAAAAGTCTCTATAACAAATTACCGTTAGAGTTTAATTTGTTTGTGTTTGTTGCATATTTGCATATATACATATTTTATTTTGCGGGTTCGGTGGAAGAACAGATACCAGTTTTTTATTAGACCAGTCCACTGAACCTTATTTGCTTTTTTTTCCTTAAATCTCAAATAGAAAGCTTTTATTATTATTATTATTTTTATTATTATTATTATTATTTCAATAACAGTTTTCCACAATTTCTTCTACTGTTTTGTAAGTTTCGTTAATTTGTAAGATTACAAAATTCCAAACGCACCCTATGATGTACTGTGAAGAATCTTGTGATTACAATGAAGCAACGGATACTGATATGAGGTGATAATAGAAACAGGTTATAACGACCTTCTGCGGTTCGTCAATTACAACGTCCAGACTTCATTGTTTTATGTAAATATGTTGCCTACATATTCTTTTGACGTTATTTTCATTGTTGTCTATTTGGTTTATAAACAACAAACAAGTGGTTTATTGCAAAGATACTTTGTGACTTATGGTCTTAGTAGTAGTAGTGAAACTAAAAGCACCAATTTCCAATGGTACAAGCAGCAATGATTGGACGGGTATGAGAAAGCTCGACCCAACTAACCAAATAGCAAAACTAGTACCACCAAGTCTCACGGCGACTTCTACACCTCTATGTGACAAGCCAGGATGAGTATTCACTTAGAAATAATGCTGTTTGAAGAGTCAAGGGCAATTTTGCAAGGGAACATATTGCATTCAGAATCGCTTGGTAAATTGCAATTTGAAATTGTCTGGTTTCGTTCTAAATTAAATGTTAAATTAATGTAAACGCAAAAGAGCAATGTGAAAGCATTATGCTTTGCAATTACTATTATCTAAAAATATCTAAATAGTTGTGAAACCAAGTTTGAAATCGATCGATCGAGCCTATAGTATATCAGCAAGTTGTAGTGGGCAATAGATTGAATACTAAGCTAACAAAATTCGACAAAAGTAAGTAAGATTTTTTGTTTTAGTTTCTGAGCGACGACCAGTTTGTAAGACCAGTGATTAAAATGGTGGACTTACTACTAAATTTTGTGAAGGTGTACTTTTACGTTTTTAGCTACGAAGGGGATTCTGGTAAAACTTGGTTAAATAAGAGAAGCAACACACAAGTCAGGAGTAAGTATATTTTAATATACAGTGTGCTTCATTATGGTTAGCGACAATTTACTACATGTTTGAACAACATTTTTGTGTATGTAAATTTTGAAAAGCCCTTACATTATGTTTTTTGGAGGTACTAGAATAACCTTATCAACATGAATAGTTATTTTGCTCTGTTACTTTAGGACAACAACAACTTAAAAGTTAGATACATAGATAGTTAGATACATTGCAATTATAGTTTTGCGTATTTCAGTTTTTAAGATCTGTACACCCCAATCATTCCTAAATTTCTGTTTTTTCCATGGAAACTATCTGATCTCTATTGAAAGTAATTTTATACTTTGAGTTTTTCAGTAACTGAAATTTATTTCAAGAATGAACTTCGTTCACAACTGCCGGTAGGTAACTATAATTCTAATTTTAAACACTAAAGACAACTAACTAACTGTCAACCTGTCACTTTCGGGACCCTTGACAACCATCATAGGCAAAATACTACGCCTATGAAATACAACTAATACCAATAGGTTTTGTTTACTCCCGTCTATAAAATACCTAATTACTCACCGACCTAGCGTGCGGGAAGCGTCACTTTACCACGTCAGTTTCGTTTTCCATGAATCCGAGCCACTTCGGACATTTCCGGGATTTTACCGCACGGGCAACTATAATACTTTTTCCAAACTTCTGGATTCCTTCTGCGTCGATTTTTGCTTAGTCGAATTTGCTATCGTTTATCCAAACATCCTGTTGGGTTCTTCACCGCTTGACCGAAACTGTTTCAATTAACAAGTTCGATTAAGCAAAAACCGACGCAGGAGGAATCCAGAAGCTTTGTAAAAAATGGCAATCTATATTGTTAGCAATACGTTTTATTCGTGTATCTGGAGTATTATATATTTAAAAGAAGTAGTATCATGTCTTTGCTATTTAAAAAATACATAATATTTTTGCCAAGAAGTGACCTAATGTGGGCAGCTTTAAATTGAGCAAGAATTTATGTGGGTGTTATCTTAAACCTCGAATATCTCAAAAAGTAATTAAAATTTAAATATAAGATAAGTTAGAAACTTATCTTACATTTTGTCCTAGAATTGATATCTGAATGAAAATTTTCTGTGTTCTATTTGAAAATCTTGAGATTTTGTTAATTGAATTCGCCAAAACGGCACCACCTATTTGCTACACCCTGTTCAAGTGATTGAGTAGCACATCATCTGCTTAGTCTATGGTTCAATACCTGAACCAGTAGCGTCACAACACAATTTTGATATGGGGCAACGAAAATATAAAAAAAAAACATAACCTCAATTGCTGCCTAAACTATGCAAAATTTGAATACGACTTGCTTAAGAAATTGTCTTGTATTTTAACGAAGTATTCCAAAATTTTCCATTTAAAATAACAAAGTTGATGTCGGGGGGACACATTTGGGACACCCTGTATCAACCGAATTATAATATTTTAAATCTTCAATGGAGTCCAAGAAACTTTTGTAAGAAACTTCTTTTTTTTGTATCTCCTATGCGTTTCTAGATCGTATACTGGATCGTTTTATTTGGCCCACGGTGTACATCGTCAACAAAACAAAACGACATAGTATGCATTTTTGCCTTAAACAAATTTCCCAAAGTGTTACAAAGTAAAGTCAAACATTTTAGAAATAGTTTGATCAAGTTTAAACTTTTCTTTTAGCTAAAGGCGTGGCTCATGCGGAAGATGTGTTGTATTTGTGGAGCGGACATCAAAATTTGATAAATAATAACGATCGTCTTACATCACGGCGCCTGGTAAAGCTTTGGACCAACTTTGCAAAGCAATGCCCGAGTTATCTTCGTCATTGTAAAACATGTAAAATACGATCGATCTAAATGGTGTTTCGAAAATAACCTTTTCAATGTCACGCTTCATTTTGTCCAGTTAGAATTGAAAATAATTACGTGCAGGTTACCATTGGATAAAGCGCTTTATTAGCTAATCATATTGACTTATAGTGACAAATTCCTGCAGCTAAATTGAATTTTTTTTACTGCCAAAATATATTGTCTATGTTTCTATTTGACAGCATCTTTTTATTTATGAGGCACTATTACTTTAGAAATCAATTCTACCTAAAAACTTTAAAAGTATTTAAAATGTATCGGGGTCCCACTAAGAATGACCAAAGGGGCCATGATAATTTTTTAAGCTTTTTAATCTTTTATTCTTGTTTACCATTGGGCAAAATTATGCTGCTGTCTTTAACATCTTGAGTTGTAAAAAAGCGGCTCGTAGTGTCCACATAGAATACAGATATTAAAGAGTTGATTGGTTTTGGGAAGGGTTACTAAGAAATCAATTACATAAGTGGTCGATGCTTCTGCATTTTTTTGCCTTCTTTACGATCCTATACGCTCAAGGTTTTCCGTATTTAATGGCTAAAAATGCACAATTCACATTAAGTTCTCAAACGAATTTCGATTATTTTGAACGGATGTCGCGATCTTAATCTAAAATTTTGAGATGCATAAAAAAATTGATTTTTCTCAATATTAATTCGCCGTAGTAACTCTTCTGGACTATCTACTTCTATGGCAGATGACCCCACAGATAATACTCTATTGGGCTTAAGTCGAGCGACCAAGCTGGCCAATTTACTAGAGCACTTTGATCCAGTTGGTTGTAAAATTTTTTTCAAACGGGTTTCTGTCACCGTGCCTAAAGCTGGTTCGGCATACTGAAAGAACATCTCAGAGAGAGTACGTGTAGGAATATTCAGTAACCATACAGCCAAATCAAGAAAATTTAAGTAAACGTTAGCGTTTAATCTGTTTAGCAAAATAACAAAAAACATTTATAGAAAACCTACTTTAAAAGCTGGTTCTTCGAATAAGTCGGTATTAAAAGGTCAGACTGTCAAATTCCATGATGGTTGGGAATCCACTGCCAAAATTCCAAACGATTTGGAAAGGTTTCGGGTCTTAAATTCTCTACTTTTGAATAATGGTTAGGATGTAGTCCTTGTATTTTGGTCATTCTATCAAGCTAAAAATTCATTTACCTGTCTTACAAAACTAGAAAATAACGGTAAAACTTATTCTTTTCCTAGTAATTTATAGAAAAAATGCGATATAAAGCCATAGAAACATAAGTTAACTGATAATACTTTTAGGAATACTGATGATATATGCCAGGTGTCTGAATGCTATTTGAGGACTTGTGAATTTTCAATATGAATGAGAATCCATACAAATTTCTTAACAATGAAACAATCTTAACCGCAAGTCAGGTGCAAAACAGTTTCAATTAAATTCTGAAGAAGGCAGCAGGAAACATCAGCACAGTCGATTCAACAAAAATAGACGTGTGAAGAAAAATTAAATATTTGTTCTTTTATTTAGAGAATTTGGATATTTTTATTCAATATAATCTCATTTAAAGGCGCTTTTGTAAAAATTTTATATCTGACCTTTTATAAAAATCGAAGGGTTTCCCGGAACATCTCCAAAAATGTTCTTTTGGCATTGCCTGCCCAGTATCTAGAAAATGATATTTGATTTTGAACAGTCTTCTCACATTTTTTTATTATCTTCTTTTTATATATCTTCTTTTCTAATAACAATACTTAGCAAGCGAATTATAGAATTATTACAATAAGAACATGTTAATTTGAAAATTATTCCGGAAACTATTAATTTCCAGAATATCCAACCTTATAGAAAGTATAAAAGTTGTGAGTTTGAAATAAAGAAATTGACTTTTTACTGTGAAAATTTAAATTTCTCAGCAACTCCGAAAATGGCAATAACATATAACATAACAATTTAAAATAAGGACACTAATATTTATTCCAGAACAGAACACCCTGCATATATAAAGTGACCATACGTCCTGTTTTGAACGGGACTGTCCCTTTTATAGGTCACCTGTCCCGTTGTTCCCAAACAAAGCTCCGGGACGCAAAATTGTCCCGTTTTGGTTAGTTTCATCGTGTAGCTCACGAAACACGCGCGGGCGGGGATTGACAGACGATTCGCATCACTGTCGATCGGTGATTCCCCCCGCCCGCCCGCGCACGCTGTTCGTTACTGTTTATTGTTTATTAGGCTATTCACGCGCACGCCCTCAGACTTCTCGTTATTGTTTTGTTTTTACGTAACGTTTGTAAAGTAGTTTAGTGATAAACTGCTATATTATTTTTTTATATTGTTTTGGATTTTTGCCTATATTTATGGCGAAACGCAAGTGTTCATTTAATGTCAACTTACAAGCAAAATACCCTTTTAATAAGCAAACTAATACTCCTTAAGCAAACTAATACTCCTTCAGATGTCAGATGCGAAAAGTGTAGCACAGAGTTTAGTGTTTCCCATAGTGGTGCTGGTGATATTGAACAGCATTTGAAGTCAGAAAAACATAAAATTGCCGATCGTGCCGCTGCTTCCAGTTCTTCAATGTTAAACTTTTTCAAGAACTCAAACGCGCCAACTTCAAAGGATTTGCATGTTGCTGCTGCAGAGGGCGTCTGGGCTTATCACACCATACAAGAAAACCGCAGTTTTCGTTCCAATGGTTGTGCGTCGAAATTAATTAATGTTTTGATACGAAATTCACATGCGCGCGTACAGAAACCTAAGCTATTGCGGTAAATGTTTTAGGGCGTTCAGCGATCGACAGTTTAAAAGATGATCTTAATAAGTCCAATTGTATAACAATTTTAAACGACGCTTCAATCCACGGTAACAAAAAAAATTATCCTTTCGTAGTGCGCTTTTTTCAACCTTATGAAGGTGTGCAAGTAAAAATTTTAGACATCCAAGAGCAACCAGGTGGAACTTCTGACATCATTGTAGATTATTTACATCAAGTATTAATAGATAATAATTTGACAAAAAAAGTCGTGGCATTTTGTGGTGACAATGCTAATGTCAATGTTGGAGGTGTAGCTAGGCGAGGAACTAACAATGTATTAGCCAAGTTACAATCATCTCTGAAAAAACCGTTGATAGGTATTGGATGTGAAGCCCATATAATTCACAATGCAATAAAATCCGCTGCAGATGATCTACCTTTAGACTACGAAAGTATTATTGTCAAAATATATTCATTTTTTTATATTTACACGGTGCGAGTGGAAGCTCTCAAGGAGTTTTGAGCTGAAGCTGAAATAGAACATCACCAAATGCTTGGCTACAGTAAAACCAGGTGCCTTGCGCTTGTGCCTGCTTCGAAGAGAGTTTTAAAAATGTTCGAACCGTTAAAAGACTATTTTTTGAGCATTGAAAAATGTCCCAAATTGTTGAAAAACTTTTTGAAGATCTCACATTAGAATTATGGCTTAATTTATTACACGCTCAGTCAGCAAGTTTTCATCAAGCTGTATTGAAGGTCGAGGGTCAGACTGTATCGGCAATTGATGGGGCAAAAGAAATCAATCATCTCAAAGACAATTTGGAACAGAAACAGATCAACCAGTTTCTTCCATTTATTGTTCGTAGTTTAGTTTTATAGTTGTGAAACTAAAAGATAATGGCACTAATATTATTGAAGACTTGGTGAAAAATACGGCAACAGAATTTTATAAAACTAGCCGTGAATACTTGGAACAGTGGACTTGCTTTCTTACTAAAGAAATAGAGATATTTAATTGGGCAGATTTAAGAAAAGTAAGATATATTCACTGTAATAAAGATACAGAAGTATTTGACGAATTCACATTAATTTCAAACTACGTCACTACCCAAAAAATTACCGAATGGGGTAATTTAAAAGTCTCAACAGAAACTCGTTGGGTGGAAGTATTCAAACAATTTCGTTCTAACAATCTTAAACATTAAAATTTTTATATTTTAATTGAATACATTTTATGTCTACCTGGAACAAATGATCCAGTAGAAAGAGTCTTTTCTCTCATGAACAAACTGTGGACATCCGAAAAAAAAATCATTTACAGGTTCCAGTGTTGAAAGCGATGTTGATAACTAAGGTTAATGTAAAAAAAAACGTGCCAAGAATTTTATTCTTATTTAAAGTCATCGCAAACTTTATTAAAGCAAATTTGTTCCTCTGAAAAGTATAAAAACAATTTTAAAAAAATGCTTTGCATATATTTTAATAATTATTGACAGATCAAAGTTCCTTGATTAGTAAAGCTGGTGATTGATTTTAATTTTTCACTACTTATTATTTTTTTAATTACTTAATTAATATGAAAATAATTATAGTGTATAATTCCATTAAGTAACACTTCTAAATAAAGAAAATTAAAAAGTTGTGGTTATTTTTTTTGTTAGCCTGAGGGCTAAATGTAAAGGTCTGGCGGGAAATTTAAATTTTAAACTGTTTTTAAATATCGATTTAGAGTAACTTTTTGCCTAATTTGGCTACAATTAAAAAAAATACTGTTTAAAATTTGAATTTCCCGCCAGACGTTTAACCTGAAGCTTAATTTTTTTTGTCCCGTTTTGAGTTAAAAAATAAATGGTCACTTTATGCATATACCAAACATCAAAAATTAAGAAATCTAGATGAAACTATTGAACTATTTATTTTATCGTTCGCAGTTTCTGAGTTAAGGTTGTAGGGAACATTATTTGAAACATTGTGTATATTGATTCATTTAAGAACACGATTTAAACTATATGTTTTTTAAAGTCCTGTAGAAGGTAACAAACACCCCCAATTCGTTAATATCGAAGGAGAGGCTATTAAATTTTTGCTTCAGAAAATATAGTAAGGAAGGTTCATTCACTTATTCACCAACATATCTGCAGGGAGATATTTCGTGTTGATCGTGTGACGATAAAAAAAATGTATTGGGTGTTGTAATGTATATTAAAAAAAATTTTTTATTTCATTCTCAATTTTATTCATAAACAATTAACAAATAACTTTCATTTAGTTATGTCTCGTACCTATCAGAATATGTTATATTTATTTTAGCAATCCTACTCCTGTAGACGACAAGTTCCTGAACGGTGTAAAATGGCTACCTGCAAATGCGACACCTGAAA